CGGCACTGAATTGTGAATGAACTTTTATTACGAGAATTGGCCTTCAGATATTTTTTTAGACTTCGTTACAAAGTCCGGGTATACCAATAAACGTTAAATGTACGAAAAATCGAATTTATTTATAATGAATTATTTTAAACCAGGCGTCTTTAAGCTTTTAATAATACTTAAAGTTACTGTGGTAGTGGTTTAAGCGGTCGCCACGCCGCTTCCTACTGCGCCGAGTGTTGTGGGTTCAAACCCCACATGGAACGACACTTTGTGTGATTCACAAATTGTTGTTCTGAGTCTGGGTGTTCTTTGTGTCCGTTTCATATACACGGTGATTTTTTAGGCGTTTTGGAAACGAAACATTTTAATTTGGAATCATCTATAGTACCAATAAAAATGATTAAATCAATTGTAATGTTGTTTAAAAGTTTCAGTTTTAATATTCATTTTTACTCGATCGACTTGGAAAGTAGTAATGGACTGATCATTCATTCATTATCTTATATTAATGAAACACGTCCGTGGACGTTTCGGCGGCCGCTGCGCACCGCTGACGCTAACAGCAGCTGATAAAAGTATACCTATAGGCGCGAGCTAGCGAGTACTTACGTAGATAGACTCCAATCTGTCCTTCATACTTTACACGGGCTTAGGATCGTCGGAAATACCTATTTTATTTAAACTTCTTTTCGATTATTAACCACGATTGTTCTTTTCACAACAAATCAATTTATCAACGGACTGTAGGTATAAATATTTCAAGCGAATTTAAAAAATCGGAGCTATCTACAGAATAATTAACTTACATACCTATTTACACTATTTACACTTCTCTGTATCGAAGCAACTGCTCAAAATGGAGTCCGCTGCATTCAATACACAAACGTCCACGTTTAATGCAATTGTTTTTTAATTTTCTTAATGTGTCTCTATCACTTTTCACTTTATCAAAATTGTCCACTATCGCAATGCGTAAATTATCACGGCTTTCATATTCCCGTGTATAAACAAGTATTTTTATTTCCGACCATAAGAAAAAATCCAGCGGCGTTAAGTCCGGGCTTCTAGGTGGCCAAGGCACTGGCCCTCCTCGACCTATCCACCGATCATTAAACTCATTGTCCAGGTATGCACGCACTACACTCCGACGAATAATAATTTAAACGTCCTTGACCTTGCGCGTGAGTATAGTATTTCTATTCGTAGTATTTACCTACTTGCGATTGAAAAGCCCTACTACTGGTTCTCACCTTTTCTCTGTAATCGATATGAATATCGACTTTGATGATAAAAAATATATATATTTTATTAAATTAACGTTATATATAGCTTCTGTTACTGATAAATAACTCAAAATTTTCTTTTCCAAAACGCTTTCAAAATCACCGTGTATGTTTGTAAAGTCCCCCGCGACACAGGAATGTATTCCTACTGCGGGGGGATGTCTTTAAAAAAAAAAAAAAATTACGTATTAATACGTATTCATTTAAATTAGTCGAGTCACCATTGTGTCAATGCTCAACACCTAACTCTCACTATGAACAGTCTGCTCATCATATCCTCTGGGAATGTAGTCTTTGGTATAATGAACGTAATATAATGCTGAAAAGCTTGCAGGTGACATTTGGGGCGGTATACTATGGGGATCTTGTGTCAACTAGGGTGAATTTCCGTGCGTTTAGGCGATTCTGCCATACATATTATAGAAATCAAACATAGCTCACGTAGGACCCGTAATATTTGTGGCCGTGGTGCTTCCCTGTTTAAAAGGGTGTATGCCCATTTTACTTCATTTTGTCTCCCGCTTTGCTAAGGAGGGAAGTGGATTTACTGTATTTCCAACTCCTCCAATTTTCTTCTGATTAATTTCGTTGCGGGTTCCAAGACAGTTTAATTTCTTCCTGGGACTACCCAAGTGTCATAACTCGGTGTTTTCGTGGGTCACTGCTGTGGATCCTGGTGTACAGGAGTTGCAGTGGTCGGCGTGTGGGTGGGATTAGTCCCAATAAAATAATATATCTGACACAAGTGTTGTACTCATTAGAGAAATCGATCAAAAGTATTTAAAACGTAAAAATGAATGTAGGTATTTTTTTTATTTTGTAGGCAAAATCGCTCGTAAAAAGTAAAACCTATGATATGCCATTACACAAGCTTCTATAATAACATGAATAAATCTTTAAGACTGCAATCGATTAGTAAATACTAAGAAATGATATCTATGTTTCTTAAGAATCGTATATTGTAGTAATCGATATCTTTGACCCCCATCCCTATTCTTCGATTTGTCAGAACTGTCAATTGGGTTAGTTGGTATTGGCGTGCTCTATTCTAATATCTCTATGGATTAGATCGATTAGAACTACGATAAGTAGTAGTATAAAAGTTGACTCACTATTACATACATGTTTATGATATGACACACATGGTTCCACTTTACAAAAGCTATCATTGTCGCGCAGCACTATAGTATAGTCTCATCTGTGGCTGGCCCTGTGCCATTAAATTATATCAGTGTTGCTAACCTAGTGGATTTTCCACTAAAACGGGTGGTTTTGACCCCCCTTGTAGTAGCGAAATTTAGCTTTTGGTGGCTAGTGGTTTTTTTGTGGTTTAGTAGTAATAGTCAGATTGTAGAGGACTTAGAAAATGCTGTTGAAAGATGAAGTGTGAGAACTGGTCCTAGAATACCTCAAGAACGTTTGATAGGAAAGAAAGAACATTGATTGGATAGAAATAGCATCAGGATAGCTCAGGAAGAGAAGGATTATTCATTTTAGGCAATGGGATGATGTAGGCTTTGTGCCAGATAGAGAAAAAGTTTTCGGAGTCGAGAAAGATGTCAAAGATGTGGGCTAACTTTCATAGACAGACAGAATGATCTTTTTAATGTCTCCAGAAGGCACAGGGAAATAATTCAAAGATAACAATATAGGGTCTAGGGTATAAACAGAGGAATAGAATAAAGTTATATCATTTATCTGCTATGTAAAGAATACGCTGTGGTTTGAAGCTGGAAGGAGAACGCTGCATCAAATATGAAATTCCAATAAACGTTGTAAAACAAATCAGTACCAAAGAATCGTATTAATCCGACGACGATGGTGCTGACAGAAACGATTAGTATCAGTATTACATTTTTTTTTTAAGGAAACTAGTTATTAATTTACTTATCGTTTTCTTTCGTAATTATTAACAAAAGTGTTCAGTGGAAAGAACAATGGTAAATTCGTAGTTGAGTATAATTTGAGCGTCTCAAATTGTCATTCATAGAAAATGAATTCTAGTAAATATCTACGTTTTTTGAAACTATCGTCTTAGTCTGTAAACCCCCAGTTAAAGAAAAAAAAATATTATAAGCTTATTCTTCCCTTTATCAGTTCAGTGTTATCATTTTACAGACATTTTTTTTCAAGTAGTGGAAATACAGTCTAATCAAGTGTCGTAAAATGGTAATCACTTAATAGTAATATGGTAAGCTGATAATAGTTTTTTTAATTCTTAGTACTGAATCAATAAAGAGTGTAGTATGTGGTGCATGATATTAAACGCATTATTTACGTATTTGAAAATCCTGTAGTGGAATATAAGGAAGTAAAAAAAGAGTGGCAACTACAAGCTGAAATTTTTTTGACAACTCTTGACAGTCGTTTGCGCTCTGCGTTTAAAAATCAAGACTAAATATCTGACGCAACAGGCGGCGGATATCTGCGCCTATTCTATTAGTTTAAAATTTAGTTTTAGTTTAGTTTAGAATTTACAATTCATTACATGTTGAAATAGGTAATAAATTAAGGAAAAGAAATGTACTTATTGCATATTATATATGCAGATGTACATAATTATAAGAAGATTATTTCATGTACCTTTTTTACTTGTACTTTTTTTTAATTTTAATTAAATGGCACACATACACCGTTATAATCATCATATAATTATGTAAAACAATACAAAAACCAATTTGCAAAGTCGATAGCCATAGAAAAATTCCTAATGCGGGAGTTGTCTTTTTTTTTTAAGAAAAAATAAATGATAAGATAAAGGAAACATTATGCAGCTATGTTATAGAAGACTCTTTTATCTTTGGACTCTTTTAAAACAGTCTATAGACAAAAAATGCAGTGCGTAACTAAAAAAATTAAACACATATATATATATTTTTCCCAGCCTCTCCCAAAAAAATTGATAGGTTTCACATAGACTCTAAATAAGAGTCGATATTTTTTAGATTTTTTCACTACAAGACGATGCAATTTGATTCCAAATATTTTTACACGCTTTATATTAGCTTCACTTTTATGTTTGTTTGTATGTTTGTAACCGACTCCTTTGGGCGTGATTTTGACTGACTTTAAACGGTCAGAATTCGTTCAAACTTTGTAGATATATCGAAGACCGATGACAATACACCAATTTAAAAAAAATATAGTTTAAAAAAACTAAGAAACACGCTTTCTGAAAAACTTTTAAAAAAACTAAAAAACACGCTTTCTAAACTAAAATATAGAAAATAAATTTGAAACAAAACGTGGGGTGCTTTTTACTATTGACAACAGGCACCCAACGCTTTATTTCAAATTGATTATCTATTTTTTAGTTTTCTATAGAAAGCGTGTTGTTTTTTTTTTGTATGGAGACCCGCCATTGTTCTTTTGTACCTATTAAAGTATTGTCGGTTTTAGTTTACTTGAGTTTTTTTAATTATTGGTTTTTTGGTGGTTTTAGATGTTGAATCTGGTGGAGAGTTAATTTAACAGTTGGCAACACTGTTATATAAAATTAGCTTGCTACAGTAATTAGTGTTTATTGTTAATTTTTCATTCATTTTCATGCTTTGCATTTTGCATCCGCTCGCCTTGCAGGTTTTGATAAATGAACAATGTATTCTATTTCAAGAGGTGTTTTTTCTTCAGCAGTATAAAAAATTAGTGGTTTAACTTCACGGCTTCCAATCGCTTTGATTAACCACATAAATATTCCTATAGTAATATATTTAAAAAATATCTACCATGGATGTTACTTTTATGAAGCCAGTACAACCCCACATATTTAAAGCAATAAAAGACTTGAATATACCAACGTTAATGAAGTGTTCCCAAGAGGAAATAAGACCCATAATACCATGCCTCGTTCGTATGGCACTGATATCTCCTTTGGATGTCACTAGATATTGTGCAGAAGCAAAGAAAGATGTTCTCATCATACTCTCTGGTATAGATCTGGTAAACTTTATAGTATCTCTCTTGTCAATTGAATTTAATACTTTAGAGACAGATCTTAAAAAAGAGCAGCAAATGAGGTAAGTGATTTAAATTAAAATGACACATTTTTTGTATTATTTTAATGAAAGTAACGAAGCGATTCCTCTTACAGATTAAAAAGTGGATCACAATGCACAGAAACTTTCTTAATACAGAGCGTCTCTAATGGCATTACCAATGATTTTGAGCAGTCTGACTCAACTCGAAGGGTACGCCTTGTCTTGTCTGAACTACTTCACATGCAGGCACAGTTGGTAGAATATAATCAAAATAAAAGTTCGAATAACTCAGAATACAGTATTAAGCCATCAGAATTATTTGACAATGATGTGTATTTGGAGGAGGTCACAGATGTCATATGTATTAGCCTTGCTGAACTGCCTCACTTACTAAACATTTGTGACATAGTTGAAATATTGCTATATGTAAACAAAGGTCCTATTATTATATCATGGGTTGTCTCTAACATGCCTGATACTTTACAAGAAGGTTGGTATAAGTTACAATTTTTTGACAATGTATTCAATAATAATAATAAATAAATAATAAAAATGTACACTTAAATGTTGACCACCTATAACATGGACTAAAATTTATTCAATTGACAACAAAGAGAGTTAGAGTTAAAAGAACATAAATGTTGTATGCTTCCATAGACTGCTTACTGGACCATAGACAATTTGTGTTGAAACATATTGAAAAAATAACTACATACAACATTAAATGAGACCTATTTCTTAGCTGCCATGAGCTCAGACTGGGACTGGGAGAACTGGGAGCCCGGGAACTGACTAGCTAGACTTGGGGGTGACAGGTGGCGACGTGACGCGCGCTAGAGTGATTTTAAGGGCAGGAACAAACCCAAGTAAGCCATAGATGGCTTGTTGCGATATCAGGGATTTCATTAATAGGTTGGTTCCCGGGTGCTGGTACCTGAGACGACGTGCGATTTTAGTTGGTTCGAGTCCAACCAAACTACTCCACTGTCGTCCGCTGGGGGCATTGAATGAAGATTCCCGCACCGACAAAAAGGATGGCTTAATGAGCATTTCACGCGGGCGCTCAAACAGTCAGTGGCAAAGTATGGTAGAGAGTATATTCCTTAGTGCAGAAGTATACTTTTAATTGTAAGTTTTGTCATAAACCTCTTTATTTCATAAAAGAAGATAGTCCTAATTTGGTCATTTGTTTACTTTTACATACTTATTTGGTAAATACTATTATCTCTATTTTGTTAAAAAAACAGGGTTCTAGTTATTTTAAACATGTTTTTAATATATCATGTTCATTTTCAGTGGCTGAATCACTTGTGATGAATGCTGATAGAAGTGAAGAGGGTGGTATTAGAGCTAAAACATTAGCTACTCTTTGTGCTGCTTGCCCTCACTTAGCAGCATCAGTAACAGCCAAAGCAGCATCTGCATCTCGATTACCTTCATTGGTCATAAACTTGACTTTGTTGCACCATCCGGATGATTTGGTATGCAATAAAAGACATCACAAATGAATCTTATATTCCTTAACTTAATAAACTATCAAAATATTAAGAAAAATCATGTAATTCACAGGTTTCTTTTATGTCTGGACTTCTTCTCGGTTCCGATCAAGCCAGTAGGGCTTGGTTTGCCACATTCTTACGTAACTCTCACAAGAGAGGTAAAGGTGATGGGCATGCCTCGTTAACAAAATTACGACAAGAACTACTTAACAGACTCAAAGAGGCAACTGCTGGAGTAGATGCCTCTGCTTTGCTGAGACTTTACTGTGCTCTTAGGGGAATTGCAGGAATAAAATTTCAAGATGATGAAATTGCTGGTCTTTTAAGACTAGTAACTCAAAAACCTCCACCTACTCCAGCTGGAGTTAGATTCGTATCATTGAGTTTGTGTATGATCCTTGCATGTCCGTCTTTGATGAGTAAGTATATTATGTCATTAGTGTTATATGAGTGGTATAGAGTTAAATTAAGATTATTTTATCGAAATATATGTTGTTATAGCTGCTCCTGAACATGAAAAAAAAGCTATTGAATGGGTACAATGGTTAGTAAAAGAAGAGGCTTACTTTGAAAGGTATTAAATCATCAATAATTAATCTGTTTTTGGTGTCACTGACACTGGCTTGGCTATCATCAGGGATTTCAAATTTGATACCACAAAAAAAATGTCACTAATTAGTCGAAATTTGTTGCCAAATATCAGAATTTGTTGGTTACTGGTTCAAAAGTTATAAGCGTTTCTAAGTGGCGGACTTGGGGAGAATCTCTCCAGCTTGGCGACGTTTATATTATATCGACGGGCCTGTTGGTCTAGTGGTTAGTGACCCTGACTGCTAAGCCGGAGGTCGTGGGTTCGATTCCCACCCAGGACAAATATTGTGTGATGAGCACGATCATTTGTTCTGTGTCTGGGTGTTATTTATCTATAATATGTATGTATTTAAAAATATATAAGTATGTTTATCAGCAGTCTGGTTACCATAGTACAGGCTCTGCCTAGTTTGGGATCAGACGGCCGTGTGTGAGATGTGTGAAGTTATTATAGTTATAGTTATATTTCATAACCTGGCAAAGATCAGTTTTCTCCCAAAATTAGGCGGAATTTATCGCAGTCTCAGATTTATTCGGTTCTTAGTTTAGGAGATATAATGAGTTCAATTTTTAACGTTAGGCATAGTCTAATAGCTAGATCGAGGAGGTTACGACAAATTATATGAACGAGGGCTGCTATTTATGTATCCGGAATAACAAATTGAAACAAACAGATAGCATTTATTATCGTTTTATTGCTTTTCAAAATATTCTCCGTGATTTTAACGTGAGTCGACAATTTTCGTAGCACTTTTTCCATTCTGATTGTGGTATCTCCAAAACGTGCGAACGCATCAACAGCCTCTTCAAGGCTCGAAAAACGTTGTCCACGTAATTTATCTATTTTACGGTTAGGAATAAATAGATGTCGTTGGGCCCAAGTCAGGGCGCTACGGTGGATGACCCGTTAATTCGATCTTTCGATCATCCAAATACTGAGTTGTTTCGGCCGATGATAAAATATCTAACAAAATGATAAAAGAAGCCGTGAAGAAGAAGACAGTGAAAATCGACGATTTTCACTGTCTTTAAACGTTGCATTCACATCAACAGCCTTTAACAGTCCATTACTGGACGTAGGCTTCTCCTTAGAAAGGAGGTTTTGGCCTACCTAACGTTGCATTGCGGAAGAAATATTTCCTCGTATATAACGGTGCGGTAATATTCGTATAATACCAAAAAGCGGCGACAAGCCACCCGATGATCCTAAATCCTACCGACCAATCACATTGTTACCATCGTTAGGAAAGCTTTTAGAACGTCTTGTAGTGCCCTGACTTCTGCCAGGTGGAGTCAAATTTCATGATAGACAATTTACGTTGGAAAATCTTCAACTGACGCTGGTATATCGGTTAGGAAGTTTGTCACAGAGTCACAATTTCAATACGTGCTATGTAATATTTTCTTAGATATATCTGGCGCCTTCGACAACGCATGGTGGCCCATGCTGTTGCTGAAATTAAAGTCACGGGGGTGCTTTAAAAATATTTATTCCCTTATCTCTTCGTACTTTTCACAAGGTACAACTAAACTAAGACTTGGTCATCATTCTGTGTCGAAGGCGCTTACAATGGGATGTCCTCAGGGATCAGTGCTAGGTCCATACTTGTGGAATATCGGCTTCGACGATTTTCTTGCGATAGCAATACCATCCGGATGTACTCTGAACGCGTATGCTGATGACAGCTTATTACTGACTAGCTGACCCGCGCAACTTCGTCTGCGTCTCTCAATAGTAATAAATTTTCTCCGTTTTTTGAAATATTCTTCATTGGTGCTCCGCTCCTATTGGTGTTAGCGTGATGATATATAGCCTAAAGCCTTCCTCGATAAATGGGCTATCTAACACTGAAAGAATTTTTCAAATCGGACCAGTAGTTCCTGAGATTAGCGCGTTCAAACAAACAAACAAACTCTTCAGCTTTATAATATTAGTATAGATGAAATCTGACACTAGGGCGGGGCTTGAGCGATTAGCCAATAGATGTTTGAACTTGATATCTCAATAGGGTGAACGTAATCGCTTAACTTTTGCACCCAACAAAACCTTCCAGCTACTTTTAAAAGGTAACCTCAAATCACCGCCGTGCCTTAAATTTGACAATGTCACTGTAAAAAATAAAACCTCAGTGTGTTATTTAGGATTAGTTTTAGAAAGTAACATTTCATTTATCGAACATATTAAAATAATAGTTAATAAAAAGTCTAAAAAGAGTTTCTGTGCATTGACAAGGATATCAACTGCGACATGGGATCTATTATTTAATACATTAAAGATCATATACGGAGCTACTTATTTAGTTTCTATGTGCTATGGTGCACCTGTATGGGCCGATAGGGCGACCGTAGGCGCTATCCGTCACAAACTGTTACAAGGCCAACGACTTGCACTGATATTGTTGTGCAAGGCATATAGGACGGTTAGCACTGAGGCTTTGCCGGTGTTGGCGGGTGTGCTTCCGGTCGATCTCGAGGTGCAGAGACGTGCAGCCATGTACTATTCAAGACAACAAAACATGGAACGCGGTTTTTGGGCGGTAAAATTACAAGATTGCTTCAACAGCAGTCCGATGTCTATAATGACTTCATAGACGAATGGCAACAACGCTGGGGGCTTTACCAGTTCTTTCCATCTGTTCGCCAACGGTTATCGTGGACATGGCAGGTGGATCACTGTGTCGCTCAATTTCTTATGGGTCATGGTAACTTTAAGAGCAAGCTGTATTCATTTAAATTAGTCGAGTCACCATTGTGTCAATGCTCAACACCTTTTTTTTTTCCTTGCGGAAATCCCCTCGCATACCACCTATCGGTGGCATGTCGGACTCGAACCGACTAAAACCGCACGCCGTCTCGGGTACTAATAGCCGGGGAACCAGGTATACCCTAGAAAGGAAGTCCCTGGTGCCCCGACATACCTCGGGCCATCTACAACAACAGGTAGACGACCCCCCGTGTGGGAACCCCATGTTCCCTCTGCTCCCTAGAAGCGAGCGCTCGCCGCCACCCCGGCCTGCTTCTGCTAGGGTGACAGATGGCCTCACCTGTCACCCCCAGGCCTGCGCTTATGGAGGACGGAGGTCGTTCTGCGACCTCCGGCGTCTGAGTCGCCTGCGGTACCTGGCCCGTTCCCGGGCCTGGCGGGCCGGGAGAGTCCTAAACCTCTCTCGGTCCCGCTCCGCCGTCTCCTTCGCGAGCATAACTTGCTCGCAGAAGGAGACGGCAGAGTTCCACGCACTCTGGCTCCGCACGATAGCCGCAATCAGGCTATCGAGCGAGAGAACTCCCAGTCTGATGGCCGCCACGAGGTCTCGCCTCTGCTCAACCCACGCCGGGCACTCTGCCAGCGTGTGGAGAGCCGTGTCCACGGTCTGGCCATCGCAGTGGTGGCACTCAAGCAATGCTCAACACCTGACTCTCACTATGAAGAGTCTGCTCATCATATCCTCTGGGAATGTAGTCTTTGGTATAATGAACGTAATATAATGCTGAATAGCTTGCAGGTGACATCTGGGGCGGTATACTATGGGGATCTTGTGTCAACTAGGGTGAATTTCCGTGCGATTCTGTCATACATATAATAGAAATCAAATATAGCTCACCTAGGACCCGTAATATTTTGTGACCGTGGTGCTTCCCTGTTTGAAAGGGCGTATGCCTATTTTACTTCATTTTGTTTCCCGCTTTGCTAAGAAGGGAAGTGGATTTACTGTATTTCCAACTCCTCCAATTTTCTTCTGATTAATTTCGTTGCGGGTTCCAAGACAGGTTAATTTCTTCCTGGGACTTCCCGAGTGTCATAACTCGGTGTGTTCGTGGGTCACTGCTGTGGATCCTGGTGTACAGGAGTTACAGTAGTGGGCGTGTGGGTGGGATTAGTCCCATTTAAAAAAAGCATTGTCATGATGAAGAAGGATTCTGCGTTTTCGGTTAATCTTATTTTTTCAAAGACTTCTGGCAAACAAATGGTCATGTACCATTCAGAATTAACCGTTTTACGATCCTCTAGTGCCACATGTCTATTTATACCAAAAATACAAGCGACCATTTGCTTCAAAGTGCTTTTTGAACAAATGACTTTTGTTGGGTCATCTTGGAACACCCAAACCGTTGAATCTTGGATATATGCGTATGATCCTGAAACTATCAGGATCATACGCATATATCCAAGATTCATCGCCTGTGTATGTAATATGGCATATGTAATAAGACAGCTTTGACGCGCTCTGATTGTACTTTTGTAACATTTTTTACACCAATCGACACGAGCCCGTTTTTGGCCAATTCTCAAGTTGTGCGGAATCTAACGAACAATTTTTATTACTTTTTTTACTTCAAAAGGTAAAAAAGGAACCCTTATAAGATCACTTCTTGTCTGTCTGTCCGAGTGTCACCACCGATTTTCTCAGGAACGGGTAGACCTAGCAAGTTGACATTTATACCAGATACTGAGGTCTATGGTCCCTATTAGGTGTATAAAAATCCGAGGTCCTGAGACAACACGATAAAAAAACTTGTAAGTACCAAAATTTACCGTAATTTTCAACTTTTTTATTTTTCAGAATTTTATCTTTAATTGCGCTGTAAGACCTTGCTTTTAACAAAAATTGACAATTCTAGGTCAACCTGAAAGTACCCTTTGGTTTTGGGTTCCCGTTAACCTAGAATCACGAAATTTGGCAAAAAGAAACGTCTTACAGCACAAATAAAGGAATAATTCCAAAAAATAAAAAAAGTCGAAAATTAAGATAAATTTTGGTACTTACAAATTTTCGCGAAAATCTACGTAAAATCTGGGTAGGTACGGAACCCTTGGCGCACGAGTTCGACTCGTACCTGACCAGTTTTTTAAATATTGTTCCGTAACTGGCCTGTTCCGGGTACATAAATAGCAGCCCTCATATGTATGTATACTTCTAGTTTTATCGGTCTAAAGTCCTTAGAAATGTCAGAAAGAGATAAATTCTCAATTAAATACATGTTTTGATGTTTTAAATGACTGGGTTAGAGTAACTTAAACTTCTTTGAAAACATTAAACCTTGCTATACTTAAAATGGGTTCCCTCTATCTGGCAGAATCTTGATGCTCCGATATTTATTTCGCATAACACACTTGGCAGAATCTTCTTTAAACGAATATTTTTAAGGCATAAAAATTATTTAGTATAATTATTGTTTGGCTGATTTTTATATTTTCGAATTTACAATGGTATACTTTTAAGATGGCATAATTTTATTTAGCATAGTTACCTTTGGCAGATTTAAAATTTCGCATAATTTCGTTTAGCCACAACGTTTATTTAGAGCGACGATTATTTGGTACAATTTTATTAGGAATATTGCCATAAAATAGCGTTTTTTAACGTAAATCATATTTTATCATATATTCTTATTTCGGCAACAGAAGGTTTATTATTCTAACGTAAATTAAAACCTAACATTAGGTACAATTTGGTAAAACAGGTGTATGCCACATCTTGACGTCAGACCAAGAGAAAGTTTTAATGTTTTCAAATTTAAGTTACTCCAACCTAATAATTTCAAACATGAAAACACTCTCTGTGTCATTTTTAAGGATTTTAGACCGATTAAACTGGAAGTACATTACACATACTTATTAATAAAAATTAAATCTTGGCAATTTTTCTGGAACTCTTCTATCTAGCTCTTAGACTAAAACTCTTAGCTCTTAAAAACTAAAATATCTTCTAAAAACTAAGACCTAGTTTTTGAAATATAATCATGGCCGACTTGGCAAGATTCTCCCTAGGTCGGCCACCTAGAAACGCTTATTTCTTTTGAACCAGTGACCGACAAATTCTGATATTTGGCGACAAATTTCGACTAATTAGCGACCAATTTTTGGTGTTATCAAAATTAAAATCCATGATGGTGGCCAAGCTAGTGTCAGAGTGACACCTGTTTTTTTTTATATTTTGCTTTGTCAGGCATTATTCATGTTTCAGTAATTCTGGGGTGACTGCATCATTTGGCGAAATGTTATTGCTAATAGCAATCCATTTCCACTCTGGACAACTAGCTGCAGTCGGTGAACTTGTATGCGCCACTTTAGGAATGCGTGTTCCCGTTCGTCCTAATGGTCTTGCTAGGATAAAACAAGCATTTACTCAGGAAATATTTACAGAGCAGGTATTCCATTCCGTTCGGTCCCGAAATATATTTCCTAACAGTGTAAAGTGTAGTTAATTTTAATAAATCTTAAATATTGCAGGTTGTAACTGCACATGCAGTAAAAGTACCCGTTACAGCAAATCTTAATAGCAATATACCTGGTTACTTACCTGTTCACTGTATCCATCAACTGTTGAAGTCTCGAGCTTTCTCTAAACATAAGGTGCCTATAAAGAATTGGATATATCGACAGATCTGCAACTGCACCGCACCATTGCATCCAGTCATGCCGGCACTTGTTGAGGTTTATGTAAACTCCATCCTCGTTATAAACAACAAGGGGACTAATGAATATGTAAACAAACCTATAATGGAAGAAGAAATCAGAAAAGTATTTAGAAATTCAATTTTTGGTGCAAACTTCGATGTTCAGAGTAAACCATTTACTTCTATGGACATCGATAATGCAGAATCTGCAATTGATATAACCATCGAAAAGCCAACCTTAGCATCGCAGTTATTGCTTATTTATTACCTTTTGTTATATGAGGATGTAAGGCTGTCCAATGCAGCTACACTCATTGCTAATGGCAGAAAGGTAAAAAGTTATTCTGCTGCATTTTTATCTGAACTACCTATTAAATATTTATTGCATCGAGCGCAAAAGGACCAAATGAGTTATGGAGGTCTATTCAGCCCTCTCTTGCGCTTGTTAGCAACACACTTCCCACAGCTATCACTAGTTGATGACTGGATGGATGATCAACTATTTGGAGATACAAATCGACACCAAGTCGACGTCAGTCTTTCGGAAATTGCTATAAATGATGCATTTAAAACAATTGAAGAAAATCCGTATAAGACTGGAAAGATATTAAAAGCTATGCTCAATAAGAATCCAACAGACATATGGCCTTTTGCTGATACTTTTGTAAAATATTTCAAAAGTGTACTTGGCGATCAAGTACCGCGACACATACAAGAGTTATACCATGAAGTTTGGTTGCGACTCAATACAGTTTTGCCTCGTTGCCTGTGGATTATGACCATAAATGCCTTATTAGATATTAATGGTTGTTCAAAAACTGTGCAAATTACACAAGAAAATGTTTTAGTAGATCCTTTACAGGTTTTGCGATGCGACATTCGCGTATTTAGATGTGGTCCAATACTCAAGATAATTCTAAGAATATTAGAAGCAAGTTTAGCTGCTTCTAGAAGTCAACTAAGCAGACATTTGCTTGACAGACCTTTACTTGAAAAAAGTGGACAGCTCACCTCTGACGCTGAGAGGGAAGAATTAAAAAATGCTCTAGTAGCAGCTCAGGAAAGTGCAGCACTTCAAATTTTACTGGAAGCATGTTTAGAAACACCAGATGATGAAAAAAAACCAGAACTAATGTGGTCTTTGCGGGAAGTCAGAAGTATAATCTGTTCTTTTCTGCATCAAATATTTATTTCCGAGCCATCATTGGCTAAACTGGTTCATTTCCAAGGTTATCCAAGGGAACTCTTGCCAGTTACAGTACAAGGAATACCTTCAATGCATATATGTTTAGACTTTATTCCCGAACTTCTCAGCCAAGTTTCTCATGAAAAGCAAATATTCGCAATCGATCTCGTGTCTCATTTATCGATACAATACGCATTACCAAAAGCAATGTCAATTGCAAGATTGTGTGTAAATACTCTATCGACATTGTTAGCAGTTATTCCATGTGATTTGCGTTTGGAACTATCACAACCGGCACTTAAATCTCTTGTGAGAATTAGTACCGCATTCCCGTCACTTCTAGAAGACGTCACTTCTTTGTTGTTACATTTTGGAAGAATATGCGAGTCTCAAGCATCTCTCGGATATTGCTGGAACGATATAAGTATATTAGGCGAAGGAGGCTACGTAACTTCAGAAGCACAACCCGATACAAAAGTATTGGTAGCTGAAGAATTGTGTAGAGATATAAAACTGACAATGTCGGCAATTATGGACAGGGCACTTTTGAATGACAAACTTTATTAAGATTTTTCAATAATTTGAATTGGCAGAGATAGATTCTCTGTTGTCTCTGTAGATTCTCTCTGTCGTAAATGCTTGACAAGGCACTTTGAAATAAACTTTTAAGTGATCCAATAATTTGATTACCTGAATTTCTTATTAGAAATGTTATCTATTCTATTTAATATTGGTTTTTTATTTACTTCTAATCAATATTTCCAAGCAAACGCCAGAAATACTGGTACAGAGTTATAATTTCCTTATCAGCTCGCGACGTGACAGTTTTCAAGTAACTACGCAGTTTCTAGTTGTATACATAATAATTGGCTAGAAAAGTCTGTTTTTCCACAAGTAAGGATCTGAAGCTAATTCTCATAATAAAAAAAATCTGTTCAGATGTAGATCAAATCCCACCCATGTCATAAGTATTCTCGTAGCAAAATATTAAACATCCAACGTTAACTGTAATGTGATTATATTGTATTGTGCCCGGAAGTTGAATCAGTATTTTACTAGTCTTAGTAATACTTTTCTACAAGAATAGCTTTTATGACATGGGTGGGATTTGATCTACATCTGAACAGATTTTTTTTATTACGAGAATTAGCTTCAGATCCTTACTTGTGGAAAAACACAACACACACAAAACTTACTTACATTTATAATTAATATTTCAGGTAGGCGTATGCTTTTTTTTTCAAAAAAACAAGTATACGGCTCTTAGTGAGTTAACAAAATTCTAGCGACTACCAGTAGTAACAATGTCAAGCGAGATCCAGCGGCACTTCAGTTGGATCGTCGTGTTTTTTATATTTAATAGGCAAAATCAGCGTTGCTTTCACAGTTATTTACTGATAAATCGTGACGCCCTCGTCAAGATTCATCAATTATATATTATTATTGTAATGTTGGACAAAACTAAATTAAACGACATCTTATTACTTTTCTAATATTAATAAGAAACTCAGGTAGTTAATGTCACAAAGTGTCTAAACACATGAATAAACACACCACTTCTTAAAAAATATTTTAATACATAACTATTAACATGTTTGATGGTTCAACAGAATTCTGCAATTCCAACTGTCTATACATCCAAGCGCTTTGATTTCTTGCTGCGTGATTACCCATGTCGTGGTGTAGCTGAGCCTACAAATACACAACTCTATAACATTATTTGCGATTCGCAATAATTACTTGCTAATTGAGGTTTAATAAAATTTATTTACGTAACAAGGTGTAATAGTCTAGGATAGTATCATAATTCATAGAAACAAACTTTGATAAAAGACCGGAAGTACTAAGAATTAGCGTACAACCCGGTACTATTTAGTTAAAAACTTGGCTTGTATTTTTGGACTGTTTCCTTTTCTATTCGTGACTATTGTTAACTGGACTTTGATTTGTGCTTCTGATACTGTTGAATACATAATATGTTGATACGAACGAGGAATATCTTGATATTTTGTTTTCTTACGGATACTACAGTTCAGTTCAGTTACAAAAATTCGCAAAACAGTCGTATAAAACTACGTATCTCTCTCTACGTGAACTAAATTCTTCGTTCCTCTTTTTGATCAAATATGGCGCACAGAAGTGCACAAATTTAAACAATTTTAAACAATATGTGATATAAAGTTAAAAATAATGTCAAAGCGGCTACATAAAACTATAGGTGTCCGTTATATATTTTGATCTGTCGTACTACATATGAATATCAGTATATAATAACTGTTCAAGATATATTGGTCATAACGGTCGAATTTCGACCAACAGGCGATCTCCAATTTTAGCTTACTGACTAGTGTCTTTAGAATTATGTTCTCTAGAAAAAAGAATTCTTATGAAAATTTTCGAATTACCTAGTAATGTAGTTATAATTTGCTCAAAAAGTCCAGTTCACCAAATCGAATCGAAAATCGTAAAACTTCAGTTAAAATGTTTAAAAATTCATACCTGTAAATACCACGTTTGTAACAGTCTCACATGGGCACCAACTTTAGAAAAGTTCTTTTTGACAAATTCTAAAGCCTCGCAACAAGACTGCAATACTTGTAATCTTGCTTCACCACATGGAGGCGCAGTTGCTATCCGACATTTTGTATACAAAAGCATTGCTGAAAAATAATAGTGTCCGTTATCGTTTTCGAACAATTCCAGGCTCTGCAGAAGATTATTATTAGATATTTTTTGGAAATTTGCTAACCAAACTAGAAATTGTATAAACAATCCTGCCCATTAAAATTTAGGCACGTCTAAGACGCCCCTGTACCGTTTGCTATATATATATTATATGTGAAAAAGAACTATTTCTAATAGTAGTCAGTACAATACAGGTCTACGTAGTTAACGGTGCCATTCATAGATGTCGCATTGCTCTCCTGACCCACTTACTGTGACATTGTGCCTATTATGGTAGATAACAATATTACTCACCCCTAGCCATGTCGTACGCGCTACCATCTGCCATAATAACAGGCAATGCTTTCCTTGCAAGAGTCAAAGCATTCTTCGCACAACCCATATTAAGTTGTACATTCGCCAAATGCATTTCGGCCGTTGCAGCTAAGTAATGTAGGTGATATAACTTCGCCAGCCACAGAGCTTCGTTCAGTATCATTATGTTTGTAGATTGAATATTACTAAAGGAATTTTGAACTTGTGACATCAATATTAATGCTTTTACTCGTAAGGACACAAAATGTAAGCTGTCATCTTCAGTTTTACAGAAATCCAAAACGTCACACAAAGACTCCAACGCTTCAGTGGCATCCCCCTTTAAATAGTACATCTCTGCTTTCAACAGCTGACTTTCCCATCTGTCCGATGAAGCTAGTTGCCTTATGCTTTGCTCAGCTTCCTCCCATTTTCCTGAATACAATTTTAAAACGACATATTTATGGTTAATTCCTGAATAAAATATCGCACCAAAAACATTTTTATGTAAAATGTTGCCAGGACCAGACCAAGTGGCTGACACTGCCAAAAGGTTAACAGAACCCACGTAGAGCCAAGCTTCTACATATACCCGCCCAAACTCTACAAGACCTAACTTTATAAACTCTACCTGAGTCAAAATATGTGGCTTGGCCCTGTTTTACTACAAGAACTATTGTATAACAGAAAAGTAATGCTCCACCTATCGTGCACTAACTAAAGACTTTTGCTGACATTCCAATAGAACCCAATCAACCACAATTCAAACTTTTTTTTTTGTATCGAACGAATCTTCATATTTTTCCTAATTCATTAGTAAAAGAGAAAATAGAGTATGACTCACCAGCAAATAAAGCCAGGCTAGCGTGGTACCGAGTAGCGACTGCTCTGGTGCGCGGGCAGCGCAGGTGTGAGGCAAGCGCCGCAGCCAAAGGCCCAGCTCCGCGCCACGCTGCACACGCCACTGCGCCCGCCGCACCCGTAGCGCTGGCTTCCGTCCAGTGCCACACACTGGCTGATCCGACCGTGCACTCTGCGCAATATTTTCTATTCACTTAAAAGTCAGCATCGCACTATCCTCATAACGTTATCTACTACCTTCTCGATGTTTATTTATTTACATAATTAGGCATTTACAGACTTGTGTTTATTTGTATACATATAAAAATCAATTCCTATTAATTCCTAAGACTTCAAGTCCATACATTTCTGTCATTTGTCTTTCGTCGAGCTCTTTTTCTGTACTATATCCCTTTGTCAACTATATAACGCTTTCCTTTGGTTAATACTACGACTTACTAGTAAATATTACTCACAGTAATTTTTAAGGTGTAACAAGGTTTCGTTGACAACTAACTTTGTTCGATTCTTCAGGAACATTGTTTTTAACACGCTTTTATTATTGTTACGAGTGGGGTATATAATATTTAAAAGTTGTCGGTTAATTATTTTTATTGCACTGTATTTACTAACACTCACTATAACAAACAAGAAATCACTATATAACTCGTTCGTCGCACTAGAAATTCACTTCGATGTTAATTCGTGTGTCGTAAAACGATACTGTGACGTACGGCCAACACGCTCCGTTTTTTATAGCGCTATTGAATTTACTAGAATGATCCCTAGTATTCGATAGTCCGTCCTAGACAAACAAGAATATTCCAGCATCAGTCATGCGTTACTTGCAGCGCCATCTAGCGCTGAAGGGATCTTAATTATTAATTACAATCTCAGTGGTTGAACTTTACTCGATACTAGATGGCGTTGTCATCCAAATTCCATACAATTTCTCGAACAATCGAACCATTTAATTCTATAGCCCCCTCCTAAGACATGCTCGTCCCGAGCCTTATCGGTCCTGTCTTTGAGGCGCCTCTTGGACACTTCTGTATACGGTAGGTGACATCATTGATTTTCGTCACAACTTGGTATGGTCCATCCCATTTGGCTTGTAGCTTCGGAGATCTCCCTTTACTGCAAACTGGATTATGTAGCCAAACTAGTGAACTTTCTTCGAAGCCTTTATTGTCCACTTTCCGGTCATAACGGGTTTTCATCTTTTTTTTATGTTAGAGGGGGCAGTCGAGCAGACAGGTTACCTGATTGAAAGTGACCATCGCCGCCCATGAACGCCTGCAACTCAAGAGTCACAAATGCGTTGCCGGCCTTTTAGGAAGGAGTACGCTCCTTTCTTGAAGGTTTGAAGGTCGTAATCGGTCCGGAAATACCGCAGAGGATAACACGTTCCACAGATTGGTTGTGCGAAGCAAAAAGTGTCTCGAAAAGCGCACTAGTGGAGCGCCAACTATCCAGGTGATGAGGATGATAATTTTGCCGTGTGCAAAGATGGCGAAAAGTTGGGGCTGGTATTAGTCCGAACAATTCCTCGGAGCACTCTCCATAATATATGCGATAGAGAATGCAGAGAGAAGCCACATCTCTACGTAACGCCAGGGGATCGAGACGGTTGGAGATGTTGGGGCTATCGACGATTTGAGTCGCTCTTCGTTGGATGCGGTCCAGAGGGAGAAGCTGGTACTTAGGTGCCCCTGCATAGACATGAGAATAGTATTCCATATGCAACGAGACTTGTGCCTTATAGAGCTGAAGGCGGTGGGCCGGAATGAAATACTGCACTTCGAGCTTCTTCGAGGTCAATTTAACCTTACCCTCTAAGTGACCCCGAAACTGGACTTCGCTCGATATGTCGATGCCTAGGATTCCGATGCTGGCTGAGACAGTTAGGGTGGTGCTCTCAAACCGAGGTGATACGACCAATGGTATCTTGTTGACGGTGAACGCACAGACCTGTGTCTTTTTTGGGTTGAACTGGGCTAGATATATTCGGCCCCAATCTGAAACCTCCGCTAAGGAAGTTTAAATTTCAGACAAAAGTTTGTTTCGACTCTCGATGACGTTTTCCCGAGAAATATCTGCATAGCAATGGATGCTACTAGTTTGCAACATGTCATTGATATGCAGAAGAAACAGTGTTTGTGATAGTACACAGACTTGTGGGACACCAGCATTTACGAATTTCAAGTCGGAGCATGGACCGTCGATAACGACCTTAATGCTTTTGTCCGCAAGGCAACTGGTGACCCAATTACACAATTTCTCGGGAAGCCCAAAGGAAGGGAGCTTCGAGAGAAGCGCCTTGGCATAAGGCGCTTCTCTCGAAGCCTCTCCTTTGGGGATAATCGCCTGTGCCCACCGGTGTATTAGCAAGACGAGAAGATCACCAGCTGAGCGACCCCGGCGAAAACCATATTGTCGGTCATTGAGTAGCTGGTGAACATCCAAGTACCGGATGAACTGGCAGTCGATTATGGATTCCATAATCTTAGAAACGAAAGGAGTTATGGCAATAGGCATGTAGTTGGACGGGTCACAGCAGTCACTTTCTTTAGGGATCTGGTACACAAACGCTAGCTTCCAGCAGCAAGACGAAGCCTTTGGAGTAGGAGAGACGAAAACAAGCGCGTTAGAACCGGTGCCATCTCTGGAGCACACGTCTCCAACACGACCGGAAAGATTCCATCGGGCCCACACGACTTATGAATGTCGAGGGAAAAGAGTGCTTTATGCACTGATTTTTGTGTGAACCGGATACCCGGCATATAGCTCTGGCACCGCGGTATGGTCAGCGGTACGAGTTGGATGCAAAGAGTTTGCCTAGAAGGTCAGCTTTCTCCTTGGCGTCATAGGCCAACGAATTATCTCCCATCTGCAGGGGTGGTTAGGATCTTCTCAGACATTTGTTGGCCTGATTGTCTGACATGCTCATAGATCTCATGCATCTTGTTGCGAAATCTGCGGGCAACCGTAGTTTTCTTTCGAAGTTTGCGAAAGCTGGTGTTACTGAAGTACTTTTGTGGACTGCACTTCGGTATTACAGAAGAAACGGCTGGATGTTTGTCCCAATCTCTCTGCCTACCTGCCACAACTTTTCTCAGATACCTCTCCAGTGCTTGGATAACTCTTTCCACCATTCCGTCCGATTGTGGGTGGTAAGAAGTTGTTCTGTTTTTGTGAGTACTCGACACATTCCTTGAAATATTTGAGACTCACAATTTCTTCCTAGGTCACTGTGAGTTTCTAAAGGCACTCCAAAACGTCAGAAGACTTCGTGCACTTATTTATCTGCAACTGTTGAAGCCCCTTGGTTGGGAATGACGAAGACTTCAGGCCACTTGATGAAGTAATCCATTACAACTATGAATTTCTTGTTTCCACTTTCACTTTCAGAAAACGGCCCCGCCATATCTATTGCAATTCCCTCCCAGGGTGCACCAACATTATACAATTTCAACGCACCCCTACTAAGTGTGCGTGTATACCAGTTGTGCGGCCGTGAAGGGATCCCCTTCACGACCGCACAACTGTCAACACTTGCGACACCAGTCTTCAACATCATCACGACAGTGAATCCAGTAGTATCTCTTCCTTATCTTTAACAAGGTCTTGTTAACTCCCATGTGGCCTCCTGAACATCCGTATGGTAGAGCTGCAGGACAGCCGGTATCTTAGCCTTAGGTAAAACCATTTGCAGATGACAGCTGTCTCCTCCAGCGTTTTCCCATTTACGGCACATAACTCCGTCCTGGATGACCAAACTATCTTATTGAACCCAATAACTCTTCGTGGTCGAACTCATCGATGCAACATCGCTTCAGTGAGGCTTAGGAGTATCAGCTTTAAGCCATTCGAGAATCGGCTTGATATCTGCATCCTCCTGCTGTGCTTGCTGTAGGCTTTGCTTCCATTTATTGCATAAAGTCCGTCTTTAGCGTCCTTACAGGCACAGCTTCCTTTACAGACGGTGCTCGTAGTCTTCAGGACATGATCTTCTCGATAATGCGTCTGCGTTACAATGAGATTTTCCACTGCGATGTTCAATCACGAAGTCATATTCCTGTAGTAGCCCAGTATCACTCGCATCTGTGTCAACTATGAATTCATTTTCTGTGTCTGGATTTTTAGTTCTTGAAATGCAACGTCACAACTTTCGTCCCAGCAGATTTTTTTTCTCTTCAGTCAATTTATGAAGGGGTTTCGCAATATCCGCAAAGTTTTTCACGAATCGACGATAGTAGGAGCACAGACCCAAAAATGCTCTTACTTGGATTTTATCTCTTGGAACTGGCCAATCTTTGAAAGCGGCGATCTTTTGCGATCTGTTTGGACACCCTCTTCCGAAACCACATATCCTAAAAAGCTTTCTTCAGGTTTCATCGTCGTCATGTTCTTGAAACATACGTCCCACGATGATAATGTCATCCAAATAGACCAGACAGGCGTCTCCAGTTAATCCGATGAGTAATAGCTCCGTCAGTCTTTCAAAAGTTGCTGTCGCGTCACATAATCTAAAGGGAATAACTTTGAACTGCCACAGTTCCCTGTAGAAAACGCAGTCTTCTTCTTGTCCTTGGGATCAATTTCTACTAGGGCAGCTAGACCGAAGATGACCCTTTTCGCCGCCCTTATACCCTTAAAAAGGTCCCGCACAGGTGACGCCATAACCTCCCGGACACGATGAGACCGATGGTCTCACGGCTTCTACCTCCAAAGCATGGGCTAGGGCGTCCTTGAGATTTTCATGGTGCCCAAGCCTCACAGCAACTCTCACCTTGAGGTCACGAATGCCATCGATGAAGGCTTGCACCAGATTCCCGTCAACGAGCGCAGGTGCAGACTGGTATGCCTTACGGACCAGTTTCTCAACTTTCAGGGCCCATTGTTGCAAGTTTTCACCGATGCGTTGGGCACGATCCTTCAGTTACGAACACGTGCTCCAGGTGAGCGTCACCATATCTTGCTTCCAATGCTTCCAGCAGTTGCTTATACGTTACCTGCTTACCGAGGGCTTCGAGGACGGTTAAGGCCTGATCCCGGAGACCCAAGGTGAGCGCGGTCATAGCTTGGGCCTTAGTCCAGATATTCGCCGTCATAACAAACTCAAACCGTATCTTGTAGGCTAACCACGAAGATGTTCCATCAAACGGCAGCACTTTGAACACTCGCACCGAAGGAGCAGCAGTTATCGTTTGCAACTGTTAGGTTCCCTAAGGCCTTCTTCACATCTGCAAAATGGGTTTCGGCTTCAGTGAGATGGTTCTCGTGTTGAAGAACCTGATCCTTCACTACCTTGAGTTCTTTGCCGAAGGTATCATGAACGCCTTTTAACAAAAGCATCTGCTCTTTCAAGCGCCGGGGCTGCTCCTCCTTGTCCCGCTGCAGTTGTTCTTCCAAGCGGCGAGCCTGCTACTCCTGACCACGGGCCTACTCCTCCTGACGGCGTACTTGCTTCTGAGGCATCATCATTAGATTTGTGATATGTGGAGCCGCTGACGATGTGGACGGAGTGGTTTCCATTGCTGGCTGCTGACCCTCCAATGTAGGCAGTTGTGCACCTCCAAATCGCCTCTGGTCAGCCTCTTTCTTGCTGGCGCTGGCTTCTCGTACGGATGCCTTCCGTGTCTTCTTTGGTTAAAACCGGCATACTTTTATCCCACTGACAACAATTTGTTACGAGCGGGGTATATAATAAATAAACGTTGTCGGTTAATTACTTTTATTGCACTGTATTTACTAACACTCTCTATAACAAACAAGAAATCACTATATACCTTACTTGTTAGTCGCACTAGAAATTCACTTCGACGTTAATTCGCTGTTTCGTAAAACGATACTGTCTCGTACGGCCAACGCGACTTTACAAACGTACATTAAACGGACACAAAGAACACCCAGACTCAGAACAACAATTTGTGAATCACACAAAGTGTCGTCCCATGTGGGGATCGGACCCACAGCATTTAGCGTAGTAGTGAGCGGCGTGGCGACCGCATAAACCACTACGCCATCCGTGCAGTCATATCAGAATTATATACGCTTTTGTAACTAGACGAACTAAAAATCAGGAAATAATTTTCTATAACTTCAAAAAGAAAAATAATTTTATCGTATACATGCGTGGGCTCCATTGTTATTGCAGGTATTGGTGAGAATAAAATTATAAGTAAGTAATATTATATAATATCTCGAAAAGCACCCTCACGCTTCTTTTTTTCTCTATCGCTGGCAATGAAAAAATTTTTTTTTTCCGTTGGGCCTCACAGAAAACCGGTGTTAAGCAATTCTTTCGTTGCCTTTCACTGAGTGAGTGAGGTTACTGGAGCCCAAATCCCCTGCTAATCCTGCTGACTCGAGCGGACTCCAAGGGCGGCAACGAACTTGTGACTTTTGAGTTGCAGGTGTCCATGGGCGGCGTTAGTTGCTTACTATCAGGTGATCCGTCTGCTCGTTTGACCCCTTATACCATAAAAAAAAAAACATATGAACAGTGCCACAGCGTATATAATTCGAACAAACAAACAAACATGGTTTTTGTATACACTACATAAAATATTGTATTTACTTGTATTCAGATCTAGAAGAAGCTGACACGCCACTGAAGCCATTTCGGTTTTCCCATAAAGGGCCCACAACGCAGCCGTATTCGCTAAGCCTGCCATTGTGAGATCAGTCATAGAGTGGAGATAGTTGATTGAATCTCCTCTCATTATGACCTGTGAGGAAACAAACAATTCTTAAATTTATTATAAATATAGTATATAATATATAATAGTAAAATTACGCATCTTACTTATTATATACGAACACGGACGTGTGACGTGACGGATTAAGAATACGGGAGTGTCACCCTATTTATACGTAAGACTTACGACAACCACGGGATGAATAGGGTGACACTCCCGTATTATTAATCCTCTGACTTGAAGACTCTGGCCAGACGGATTGGTATTACGTCGTAAGAGCAAAACCCAATACCAATCCGTCTGGCCAGAGTGGTATGGCCAAAACCTCCTTCTGAAGGTGAGTTTTGTGTCAAGCAGTGGCCTATTAAAGACGGTTGATGATGGCAACGAAACCACAGGTTTAGGGTAGGAACAATAATTTGTCAGTAGAAATATTATAATACCAAAAAGTCAAATATAAAGGAAAATTTACAGTGGCGATTAAGAAATCGTTATGGTGGGAAGATTAAAAACAGATTGTAGTGATCGCAGATTACACGCAGTCTGCGTAGGAGCGAAACACAATCTCAGCAGAGGTCAAAATTTACGGAATGCCAAAATTGTATCAGTAAATTATAATCATGAATAGCTAAGATACCTAACGTGGCTATGACACTGATTTATTGTAATTTATAGCCGTCTTGAAAAGTAACGACATAGATAACGCGAGGTGACCACTTAGGAGAAATAATTGTGTAATGAGCATGATTATTCGTTCTGTGTCTAGGTGTAATTTTTCACACACCTGGTTCCCCGGCTTCTGATACCCGAGACGGCGTGCGGTTTTTAGTCGATTCGAGTTCGATATAACGACCCCACCGGTTATCCGGTCCGGAGGGGATTTCCGCATAGAAAAAAAACGTGTAATTTATCTATAAAATGTACGTATTTATAAATATATACATATATTTAAATGGTTACCATAACACATGCTCTGCCTCGTTAAAGCTAAAAACCTGTTTGATGCTCTTCACTCTGAACGTGGTCCACTCGGCAAAAGGCTTACTCGTAGAAATAAGAACCAACCTGAAAAATATAGGACGGTTTGGCACCATTCACGGCAATGTGTTGCGCGAGGAGCTGCGCGGCTGCTGCAGTATGCCTCGGACACGACGGGGTAGTGGACGGAGACGTGTGAGTGTTGTGTGCAGTAGGAGCAGGCGCGGCGGCGATGGCGGCGGGCGGCGCAGGCACACGAGGCGACCTGTTGAGCAGAGCGGCGCGGCGCGCCCGCCCGCCCGCTAGCGCGCCCCACGCAGCTGCGCCCATTAGACACGAGTAGTCCACCGCTTCCTGCGCACGGGCTAGAGCTTCTCGTACGGCCTCCATTGCTACGGACCTATTTTATAAATATTAGGTTTTTACCTATGAAGTTGAAAATTTTCCAAGAAGACACCCAACAGAATCGAAGTACAAAGTTCAGATAGTCTCTGAGATTAGAAGTCTTGGTGTAACGATTGACGGGAAGTTTCATTATTCATCACATCACATATCAACGCGGTCGTAAGGATGCGTAGTCTGGAGTCCCTTTTACGCTTCACATTCTCAGCGAATAGAAGGTATTAAGCGCGCCTTCACATGTCACTTGCCTTGCATCTCGCAAGACATTACACATAGATGCAGTTACGAACAGAGGCTGCAGTATTTCAATATGTACTCTCTATCCAATCAGTGCAAGTTACATGATATGCTCTTCTTAGACAAACTAACCAAACAATAATATCGACTGCAGTGACTTGTCAAACCGCCTAATGCTTGCGAACTGGTAGAATTGATACATTGGATATTTTCCACAATTACTATATTCATTTCAAGAAAATAATACTGAAATCGTTTGAATTATTGTCACTTTCATTATTTTAATTTCTCTGTTTATAATTCCTAAGTTCTACATTGTTGTCAATTTTCATTCACTTTAGCCTTGGTCTTGCTACAATGTTGCTGCTCAAATGTGTGTCCATCTTGTGATGTACTGTGCATGCCTTTAATCGGTCTACATATAAGAACTATCCTTTATATTGAACCGTGTTTGAACAATAATAATATTTTTGGACATCTAACTACACAAAACCATCTAGTTTCAAACTCAGCAAATCTTGTACTATGAAAGCTAGATTGACTGATAGAATAGATACTTATATCCTTTTTTTTTGTAAATACATACATATTATACATAGAAAACACCCAAACTCCGAAACAAATATTTGCAGATCATACAAGCATTTGGCCCGACCCGGGAATCAAACCTGAGACCTCAGCACAGGAGTCGCATACGCTACCACTGTTGTATATACAATACTGTTGGTGTGTCTATAATAAATAAATAAAGAAATAGTTACTTGTGGCCAAAATGAGTGTGCATTGCAGCTCTATTCAAAGCCGCATATCGAAAGTTCTTCGTTCGGTCACACGAATTACTTGCTGATGAGTTGAAAATAGTGCGGTCAAAATAATTATATAGGGAGTCCTGAGCGCCACTAAATTCCTTGGTGCGAATACAATTTAGGAAACTGAGAAAGTGCTGAAAGTAATTATAAGTTTTTCAAATGATTGCTGTCTTTTACAATGGTATCTAAAAAAGTTGTATGTACTTACTATATCGGGATACGCTGGTATATCATTTATGATTTGTATTATGGTTTTCTGTAGTTGTCTAGGTGGCATAGCTTTTTTTTCATTAATTTGCAATAAATTAGCTTGCTGGGCTGTGAACAACTCAGCTTGTTTTCTTGACCACTGACCTTCATCAAAGCTGCTAAAACATATATTTAATCAATTGAATACTTTTTTGTTTTAAGAAAACACAAAAGCTCATTTAAATGTTATAAATTGTGTCAACTATATTCTTAAAATATTTGCGATATTTGTGTTGTGTATTTTGGTTATGATACTACTAGATATAGAAACAAGCAACTGGTGAACTCAATCAATTGAAATACTTACTTATCTCTATCTACAATATTCATTTTCATTGACAACTCTAGGGGCTTTGATTCATCAGGTATTATTGGTGAGGTGTTATTCTGTGAATCCATGTTATTTAATTTCTAGAATCATATTAAAAAAAATTAGCTATATATATGTAAATGGTCTATTAACAATTTTTTTTACTATTTATTACCTCTTTACTGAGGGATCGTATCATTTGGCCAGGTCTTCCTCTTTGATAGTACAAGCAAAAGGACTTGTACAATGACACTACTTGTACAAATGTTAATCTGTCCAGGTGGAGTAGTATTCTTCTTAGATATAATCCTAAAATAAAAGTAAATGACAATTGCATTACCATGTTCCAGCATATATGTAATGGCAAATCAGTACAGACTTTATTAAATAGAATTAACTAATGACTTATAAACCAAGATCATTTAACAAACAAAAACATCATTTAAAATTTTACGATTTGATTTTTAAAAAGTAGAATTATATAAATTTAGCAAATTAAAAACTTATACAAAAACAACTTGCGTATTACTATGTATCTTGTGATCAATATGAGCATATACAAGAGAGATTTTTAACATAAATTTATATTTGTAGGGATTGAATCCACACAAATCAGTTCTAGTTCACAAGATGATTGCATCGAATGCACCTGTGACCTGACTATATACATTTGTTACAGAGTTGGGTATCAAACAAACATATCAATTATTTATTAATCTGTAATGGTAGGAACAATTAATTAATATCCAATTTTTACCTAAAACACTGTATCGAGCCATAATACAAGGGTTCGATTCAATCATAAGTTTGTCTATGGTTGAAGTGACACAATCTGTGAGTGCACTTACTCCATTTACATATATATTTTGAAGTCGGACACAAAAGTTCTGCAGATGCACACTTAGTAAATTATAACGACCATCAGTTAGAAGGGCTTCCAATTCTTTGAATTCCATATCTGGACACTGTAACAATTTTTTATATTTAAATTTTTTAGACATTTAACACACAAAACCATCTAGTCTTAAACTTAGCAGAGCTTGTGCTATGAAAGCTAAATTGACTGATACTTTTTTTGTAAATACATACATGTCATCTATGACCCCACCATATATCTATAACACCCAAACTATGACACAAATATTTGCAATCATACAAACATTTGATCTAACCCAGGAATTGAACCCGGGACATTAGCACAGCAGTCACTTCCACTGCTCCACCGAGGCAGTCGAATTTTATATATCTATGTAAAGAAAATTGAAAATATTTATTAAAAAAAAAAAACAATATAACAAATAAAAGATTTAGATTGAGCATCCTACACACAATAATATAATTAACTAAGATAATTTCTTGAAATAAAAAGTTTAGCATACACTTAAGCAAAAGTGATTGATTAAGAAATGTTCTTCAAATGTATATATTAATAATGTATGTATATTATGTATATGTTATATTACAATTGATTGACTTAAAAAGGTAAAGGCTATAAGCCAAAATATGACTGAAATAAATGTAGTACTAATTTAGTACTTAGCATGCAGAGTTAACATGTTTCTTATATATTAATATATAGTGTTTTATAGGAATTTTAGCATTTAAATTAAGAATAACAGATAACTAGCAATGGAATTTACCTGAATTAATTTAAGAGCTAACATGCAGAAATCTTTCCTGTATTTAGGAGCCACTGTGCAGTCTATCATCTTGTTTGCTGAAATAGTTTTTAATTCATCTATTTAAAATCGTTTGATATCTTCCTATTCTTTGTCACTTATACTTTTATCCCTATGCTAAATAAGGAATTAACAAATTAGTAAAGAAAAAAATTACTGTGTATAAAAGAAAATAGAACGAGCATGATCAAGTTTTGAGGGCAATTATAATTATTATTTACTAGCTAGTGTACCTTCGATCTTCAGTAGTCCATACTCTCTGATAAAAGCTACTACAGCTATTTTATGGGGGGTGATATTTTCAATGTTACCCTTGACATTGATAAGTTTAAGGAAATCTGAATTTTCATTGCCTACATCCATTATTATTTATATATTATACAAATACCAGTTAACTAAAATTAACTTAAAATATAGTATCACGATGCTTTCTTTTTAACAATTTTTTTCAATCTGACTGTCCCACAAAACAACTAGCAAAGAGTGCTTACACAACAACAAGCTATTATAAATAGTTTACAAACAATAGGCGTAAGAGATTCGATACCAAAACGGGACAGTCTCAGATCAGAGTTCAGACAATCAGAATCACAGTCCACAGATTAATCAGAATTCAGAATTACAGAAAACGAGCCAATGACGTTATTGACAGTTGGGACAGGACACTGGACAGACCCATCCGGTGGCCCCATTTCTTTATTTGATGTTTAAAATATAGAGATGAGTTCTGTAAAATACCATCGAGCAGGGGCGGGTTTACTCAAGGGCTGTTATGTTTGGACCGCCCCGTCCGGCTTCGGTCGCGGCGACTCGCTGCGACTTCCAACTACGAAAATCAGTGCAGTATGCGAGCGACTATCTAATAATAATTTAGTTGGCTTTTTGTGATTAATACTAAACATACTACTGCTCTCAAAATTAAGAAAAGATAAAATCCGAGAATTTCAAAGTTTTGTAACGTGATCTCATTGCAAACTTTTTTTTCTTTTTAAACTGTGGAAACTAAAACCACACGGTGTGCCACTTTGCGCCTAAGATAAAAGGGGTCCGGTCCTGGCCACTGTAGCGGATGGAGGACAAAACTCGTCCCGTCCACCCGCAGCCAACGCCACCCGGTTCGCCGGCGATGAATTGGGTCCGAGTTTAAGTCATCCTCCCGGGCCCTCTCCACAGTCTACTTCTGCGAGATGACGTCTTCGCAAAAGGATGCGACCGCGGTAAAACATCTGTCACTATCGGACATGGAGCATATGACGGCCGGTAGCGAGAGATCCTCGCAAATGACTGCAATGAGGACCTGACGCTGCGACGCCCAGGCCGGGCAAATCGCCAGCGTGTGCTGAGCCTAGTCCTCACTGCAATCGCAGTGGTGATAGGCGGGACTCAATTCCTTCCTAGCGACCGAGTGCAGGAGATCCCGTTGATTGTTTTCGGTCAGTATATTGTCTACAGTTTTGGATAACTGCTTAAAAAATAACTTGGGTAACTGTTCTTTCCGGCTGGATGGAAGCCAGGATAGCAATGCTAGACCGATATGTCTGCTGGACGAGGCGGTGAAACTTTTTTGAAGGAGTTATCGACGCCTAAATCAAGCAGCACCTACTTATAGGAAAACCAATTTAGCTTTCAACAGGGACGCTCGGCTCTCCCTGTCCTCCTCGTACACGAATGGCATGAGGCCGCTGGCCAAGCCACGATAGCTCATTGGTCGTCCCGGCTGGAGGCTCCACGTGCTGGCTTTGCCAGTGTGGAGACGCTTCAGCCGATCATCGTCAAGTGGCCAGGGCGCCAGCACGGGACCCTTTCTTTCTGATAGATGCAGATCCCTTCGATGTAGACTACTTCGATTGCAGTCACCACTGCGATTGCAGTAAGGACTCGGCATACGCTGACTTTGGCGTCACACCTTCGGGTCATTGCTGTCATTAAAGAGGATCTGTTGCGACCGGCCATCATACGCTCCAAGTCTGATGGCGACAGATATTACATCGTTATTGCATTCTTCTGCGAAGACGTCATCTCGCAAAAGGAGGCGGCGGAGGGAGCCCGGAAGGATGATTTCCTCTCGGATCGAATTCGCTGCCGTCGATTCGTCATTTTAGTCGGTTTGATTTCGACACATCGATCGATCACCAATTGCTCTCCTATTTGCGGCACATCATGAGGTCCATATGGTATATGGATGGAAAAGGTGAAGAAGTTGAAGGGTGGTTTTTAAAACCCGGGCCACCAAAAAGAGTCTCTTAGTAGTATTAGCCCAGGGTCCCACAAAATAGAGGTCAGTGACAAAAACATATCCTGAATGTTTCTATTTTTATTCGTTTAATGCACGGTTTAATGTCAAACTTAAAAGAAATACTCGTATTTCATTGTCTATATGACAGCTTTGACTGAAAAATGATTTTTAGACCTAAATAGCCTATGAAATCAATCCACCATTTATAGAATAGACAAAGTTTTTCTGACAAAAATCAGAGATTTATTTTAAAGAAAATGTTTTAACACTTTCAACGACGGAGTCTGAACCCACTTATAATAATGGCAATGTGCTGTATATCAGATGGTTGTCGAAGATTGTCCGAAATAAGTCTGGTAGCGACATCTTAAAGCAAATTTCCGGATTTGCTTGGGAACATGTTGGGAACAGTCTATAAAAATGCCTGTTAGTATTACTGTATTCTTTTAATAACAATGAAAGTAGTAGATTTTTAGTAGATAAGATAGTACTACTACAATGCGGTAGGTCTTAAAAAAGTGGCCACCCTGAGTACACCTACTTCATGGTGTAGACTGTAGTTGTGTTCGGACAATGGTTGTTATTGTGATAACATAGTTTTCCAATGATTTTTATAACTAACGGGTTGTATTTACGGAGAAATATGAGGAAGCATAGTACTAATACCTCATAAATTGGAATGGCCTGCAGAACCATTTTGCAACTGTTATTTTTATGTTTATAACTCATTACAAGATTTGGTAGCCATAATAATGGGTAGAACAGAGGTTGCGTTTGCTATGTTTTTAGTTTATTTTGTTCTAACCACTGAATCTTCGCGAGTTACTGTACATCAAGGAGATACATTGCCTCACCACGGTCGCTGTGAACCTATTACTATTGAGATTTGTCAAAACATAAGATACAATCAAACAATTTTCCCGAATATACTGAATCACGTTAACCAAGAAGATGCAGGACCTGAAATACATCAGCTCACACCTTTGATTAAAGTTAATTGTTCACCCGATCTGAGATTTTTCCTGTGTTCAGTATACGCACCTGTATGCACAATTTTAGACAAAGCTATACCTCCTTGCAGACATTTGTGTGTTTCGGCCAGACAAAATTGCGATGAGCTTATGAACAGGTTTGGATTTCCATGGCCCGAAAATTTAGAATGTTCTAAGTTTCCTGTGGCCACTGAAAATGTTATATGTGTCGGTGATAACAATATAACTCATGAATCTCGCAACCATAGTGAAACTAAACTGCCGAAAGTAGATTTTAAGAACAACAATGAAAGAGACCCTAGTAAACTCCATGGCGCTAAAGATTACGGATTTGTGTGTCCAGTTCAATTTAAAGTCCCCAAAAATTTGGACCTTGAGTATTCTCTTAAAGTAGGTGATAAAATAGAAAATGATTGCGGGGCACCATGCAGTGGAATGTTCTTTAGTCAAGATGAAAAGAAATTTGCTAGGCTTTGGATAGGTATCTGGGCAACCTTGTGTGCTGTCAGTTGCCTATTTACAGTTTTAACATTTCTTATTGATACAGACAGATTCAGGTATCCCGAAAGGCCTATTATATTTCTGTCTGTATGTTACCTAATGGTAGCTGCCGCATATGTGATGGGCTGGAGTGCTGGTGATAGTGTAAGTTGTCAAGGACCTTTTCCAACAACAATTAGTGGTACAAGATTACCCAACATATCAGTAATAACACAAGGTACAAAACATGAACCATGTACTATACTCTTCATGGTTGTATATTTCTTCAGTATGGCCTCAAGTATTTGGTGGGTGATTCTGACACTCACTTGGTTTTTGGCAGCTGGTCTCAAGTGGGGTCATGAAGCTATTGAAGCCAATTCACAATATTTTCATTTAGCAGCATGGGCTGTGCCTGCTATCAAAACAATATCAATATTGGCAATGGGAAAAGTGGATGGTAAGTTCTCTGTTTTTATTGAACAAAAGAATAATTCTTATCCTTGAAACAGTCCTGTACAGATAGGCATAGTCCAACTTCAAAGAATTATGTAATTTGACCATCCCTATCAAAGGGATTAATTTTTAGCAACTGTATTATATTTCTTTTATGGAGCTATAAATATGCAGAAGTGATACTCTTATGATCCCTTTAATAATGCTCTGATTCTTTTTCAGGTGATGTCCTGTCTGGTGTGTGTTATGTTGGATTGTGGGATGCAGAAGCCCTTCGAGGATTTGTTTTAGCGCCACTATGTGTCTACTTAGTCCTTGGAACTATATTTCTACTTGCAGGTTTTGTATCACTATTTCGCATTAGAACCGTTATGAAACATGATGGTACAAAAACTGACAAATTAGAAAAGTTAATGATTCGTATTGGTGTATTTGGTGTTTTATATACGGTCCCTGCTCTAATAGTAATTGCATGCTTATTTTATGAGCAGGCAAATTTTGATAATTGGATGGTGACATGGCATCGTGATATGTGCATTACACCTCTTTACTCTATACCATGTCCATTTACACGCAGGGACACAGAGCGTCCCAAATTTGAAATGTTTATGATAAAATATCTCATGACTATGATAGTGGGCATAACATCTAGCTTCTGGATTTGGTCAGGGAAGACATTAGTGTCCTGGCGCCAATTTTTTGATAAAATAAAAGGTCGTCGTGTTGAAGCTTATGTTTAAAATTATATTTGATAATGTACTTATTTGCAGCTTTAGTTCAGGATGTATTTCTAATTTTTCAACATTGTCTGCAGTGTTGTAACATGTATGAGAGCATAACATGAGCTATAAGTGTATTTCTTTTAAGCCAGTGATGTAAAATAATTTGCAATTAAAATCCAGCAATGCAAGTCAATAAATACCACTATTTGCTTTAATTTCTCATTTTTGTCGCTTACATATATTACAGAAACACAATGTGAAAAATTACAGTACTCATTAGACCCACCCTATACCTGACCAACACCACGTCGCCCCTCACAGTGTCCACTCGTAGTCAACAGGTGGTCCACGGGTGGACGCCGTTTTGTCAACTAGTGAATGTTGGGTGGTCCACGGATGGACGCTGGGTTGTTATTCAGTAAACGTTTCATGATCTTGGAGTGTGTTCACTCCTTGGAGTGTATTCACTCCTTGGAGTGTGTTCACTCCTTGGAGTGGACATAGAGTTGTCTCCTAATAGATGAGGAGTTTGTCATCGAATCATCCTCGCGCGTGAACCACCGATTCGTTCGGGGCCTGCGCGTGGTAACCGGTGGTCACCGAGTGATCCACTCGCCGTCCATGCGTTGTCAACCCGTGGGCGAGGCGCTTTGGAGTTGATCAAGTGAGCGTATACCCATAGTGCTCCATACAGAGTACTAAAGGCTCGAGGCGAGGCCGTGCTGGTCGGGTGGCTCTAAAGAGATATGATTTTTATAGTGATTTCTGTTTTGAGATTTTGAAAATGTTTCAAGGCACCATTTTTTAGATACAAACTAGCTTTTTAATAAACAAGTACTTTTACATAATCTTTACATTGTAAACATATAAACAATATTTTAAATAGGCAGCACATTTAATAAAATATTTTGTCAAATAAATTTACTATGACCCTATGAAGTGGTAATCAAGAATAAATCATCTAGGAAATGATGACTTTTTAATCTTACATTCTTGTTTTTAAATTTTTGGCTTCACAACATAAAATTAATCCTTATTTTTATCCTATGTCATCTCAGTATTAGTGTTGAGCAAAACTGATAAAATATGTAATTTATTTATTTTACAAATAACATGTCTGAAAATTGATTATTTCATACAAGTCATAACCGAAGGTAATCTCACTAGCCAAGCCCAGACTGTAGGCAATGCTATCAGTGTATTTAGACTTAAGAAACTAAGGCATCTATGTACAAATGGTTTTTAATGCTCATTAAGGCAGTATTATATGTTTTTTTTTTTTCAATACTACTGAAATTCAAAATAAGGCTGATCATGTAAATATCTTTTCTCATTTAAAATATCTTAAAGTTAAGGTTATTTTCTATTTTTTGTAATTAATTTTAAGAAATGAAATCGATTAAAAAGTAAAATCAATGTATTTTTACTTTGTCGTTTTTCTTGTGTACATTTTAATTAGGTACCAATCTAACTGTCTTTCGCAACTCAGTGCATGGCAGGTTGCTTTAACGGCGGCAAAACTCGTCCTACGAGAGTGCCTGAGTTAAGAATACAACAATGGGGTCATGGAGCCCGCATCTTCTGGATAAGCAGGTGCTTTCCAGTTACTTCGCCAAGTACTTACCTGTTTGATCGGCCGCTAACCGGCGTGACAGTGCCATCATTGTGATAACATGCCTCCATGACACGGCGCTGAACACACTGGTAGCCTAGGTTAGCCAGTGATGTTCATCGTCCAAACAGATGCCGGACCGAAAGATAGCGCGCACAGTTTCCTACGCTTGGTTCTCGGAGGAGTGCGTGTGTAGGGGCAAACAAGCAGACGGGTCGCCCTTTGCGGCCCGCCCCTCAGAATCTGAGGAGATTAACCTCATGCACTGGGTGGGTGAAAAGTAAAGAAAAAATTGCTTTACACCGGTTTTGTATGACGCCGTGGCATTCTAGGCAAGTTCCTTCCAAATTTTCGAGCCTAAATCAACACGACGTGTGCGTTACCCCAGCAAAATAATGTCGAAAATAGTCATTTAAACGTTATAGAAAATTAGTTGCTCCGATAAACCTGTGTGTGGATATATAAACTGAACGGTATGCCAATAATTAGTTGTTTAGGTCAGTTGTCTACCTGTAAAATTTCAGCGAAGTACATATAATAATTTAGGAGATAATTAAATAAAAGTCATTAAGGTGCAAGACCGTGGTAACCCGACCATGTTTAGGTGGTTACAAAAAGCGATCACCCAGTACATTGTGCTGGCTTTTAAAATATGTAGGATATTATTTGCAAGTTTACTACGGATATGTACATAAGTGTTACAAAAAACTAGGTACATGTTTCTTAAATAATTTTTATTTAGGATTGTTTATTGCATAATTAGTAATCAGCCGGGAGATTAGGCCAAAAAAGGCCGCACACATTGTGATCGTGAACGTGGAGAGCTACATTTCATCATAACTTTTTAGTCACTTACAGTATTCTTAGGAAAATTCGTATACATTTGAAGGTAGTTACAAGCAATAGAATAACGTTGGAAGTAAGTCTTTAGAGGTCTTATTCAAAGTGTTAGGACGTATTGAAGTGTTTTCATACTTACCCAAATAATTTTTAAACGGTCCATTATTTTTGTTATTTTATTGTCGAACAAATTAAAACTAATTCTTAAGAAGTTATGTACAAAAGATGGTTACAATCCGCTTACCCGTTTCAGTGATCCAGCAAACCCACAAACGTTACTCCAGCAGGATCTTGAATAACTTCGCAGCCGAAGAAAATACAAATACCAAATAAGTTGTAACATTTACCTAGTCCAGATAACTAATTATTTAGCTAACATTTATTTCAATATTACAATTAAAAAAGAAAATGTCTGGCTGCGGTAACGTTTCAAACGTTACCCCAGCAGGAAATGTTTTTTTGAAATAACTAAAAAAGTTTAAGTGAAACAAATTTAAAAATGTGCCTAACAATTACAGAAGGGGAGCAACTAATTTTCTATAACGTTTAAATGACTATTTTCGACATTATTTTGCTGGGGTAACACACACCAACACGACGGGATTTGTACTCTCTTTGCTGAAGGAATGAGGTATTTTCATCGCAAAGCAAGCTCCAAAGAAACTGCCTGTTATCTAATTTTCACTTCAAACTGCATCTCTCAATGTGTAATGTGTCTATTCTCCCGTAACAACCACTTTACAGAAGAATTTTATTTAAAGAAGATATCTGTGGACTTCTAATGGAATTAATGTATGAAATATATTTCATAATGTGCATTAGGTCTATAAAGACTCAAATGAAACTATTGTATAAATTACTGCTATTTGCTGTTGATCAGTATCTTGAATTTCAAAGTCTGAAGAATAAAAAAAGCACATACAGGATTAGCTTAGACACCCTAACAATCATTGCTACAATGTAAGTATATTCCTCCCAGAAATGTGATCATCTGCATCATTGAGATAGGATAGTTCAATAATACTTATGCTTATCTGACTGACTGACAACAGCTGCAGTAAAAAATCTAACAACTGTTTCTAAATTGCAACTTAATTTTCTTATAGAATTAAATCAAAATAATTTAGTCATAGTATTAAATTCATTTCTAATACTGGTACATGTAATATCACAACTAAAACCAAAAAAAAGAAACTAAATGTGCTAAGTTACATTACTGTGGTAGACTAAAAAATCATGCAGCTTGTATTCACACATGCAGATAAAGTTATGAGTAATGTTTTAATTACAAATTCTATTAAAATATAACATTTGTTACAAGCACTTTCCTCTGTTGACATAAATATAAAATAAATAAATGCAAGATATAGAGCATAAAAAGTAAAATACAGTTTTCTAATGTATAAACTTATTTTTACTTCAGAATAAGATTAAATTACATAATTTATAATAAACCATTTCTTAACATCAAACTCCGTTACATCCACTTAGTACTCTCACACTTGTTCAAAACACACCAATTGACTTGCAGCATGTAATTTAGGCTCTTGTGTATTTACCCCAAATGTGAAGCATAAACACTGAGGCAATAAAGAGCAGAGACATAACTAACACTGGAACTGGACCCCTGTAATAAAATAAAGAATGAGAAATAAAATATTTTGGTACTAAGTTTATAACTATAAAAGTATCTAGCAGTAAGTATATATAATTGATATAATGCAATATAACTGATAATTAGATGATTATTTAATTTCAGTTTAAAGAGCAAATAGAGCTACATTGAAGACGATAATTATATTTTGAAGATAAAAACAAATAAATCCATGAACTTGTTTCATGTGGTAACTGTAAGTTTAAAAATACTGATCCTTACACTTTGACGCCTGGAGAATCATCGGTGTAAAATCGCCACATTCCACCTGATCCAGCTCCTGTGCTACGATTTCTAGCAGCAGTAGTTGTTGTTGTAGACTTTCGCTGACGAACTGTGCTACCACTAGCTGATCGCGGAGCTGTTGTCGCCTTGCTCGGCGATCGACCTCCTGATCCAACAGACGTGGAACTTGGAGAAGGAGGCTGCAAGAAATAAAAACAGAATCCATGTTTTATCTATCCATACAATATAAGTTATCTTCGGTGTTTGTAAGCATTCTAGCTGAAAAGCAGTAATAAAAAACCACACGTACCATATTCGACAATACAATGATTTATTTACACTCAAAACAGTGACTTCGCGAAGTTGGTTATTGAATTGAAAGCCCGGAATTCTAAGTAGAACATGAAAGACCTGAACGGTGTTGGCAGAGCTTCCACTGCAACGCGTACAATTTTATTGACACGTTGACATACAATGTTGCTAGTATATTAATAATCTGGTTAGTAACTATTTTGAAACCTTAGAGAAACTACTCATAGAAATAACTTTCATCAAACAGTGAAAAATGTACTTTAAAAAAATATATTCGATATAACGATGAATCCAAAAGGATGAGATGAAAAGAAAACTACCTAACACTGTAGTAGGCCAATACTTCCTTTCTAAGTCCTACGTCAGTGGGCAAATTGAGGCTGTTTATGATGATGATGACATAAGACTAAATTAGTGCCACCGTTAAAATGGCGAAAAACTTTTTATAGCGTGAGAGAAACCTTGTAAATTGTCTTAATCAGTTATTATCAGAAAGAAAGTCTGAGAAAGTGGTCTATATTGCCCTAAATATTGTTAAAGAATACTCGAAGCTGTTTAGAAAAGTTTGTAAATTGGCTAAGTCTTAAGGTAAAAATATACTAAAAAATAAAATGTGAAAATTAATGTAATCGCACTTATACCACGAGCACAAGCAATTATTTGTAAGGTTTACAGCTTGAAATACATCTATATTTAGGGACTATCACCCAAGATTACTCTATGGCTTTACAGAACGGTCATAAGACCAATAATCACTTACGGTGTTGTTGTCTGGTGGCAGAGAACAAAACTAAGCACCGTCATAAACAAATTGCAGCAATTCCAGCTACTCCCATGCTCTGCGGTCACTGGCTGTATGCGCACAACGCCAACTGCCGCACTGGAGGTGGCTCTGGGTCTGCCGCCACTGGATTTATTCATACAGCAGAAGGCCACCATGGCGATAATTAGACTCGGACACCTGGGCCTATAGCATAAGAGTGAGGGATCGCACTCCAAATTATGGGATCAATTGGTGGAATACGAACCACTAATAGCAGCCCCATGCGATAAAATCGCAAAACATCACATCTTCACAAAAACATACCACATCCAGATGCGAGAAAATGACCGAGATCAATTCGGCATTAATGAAGTCTGAATTTACACGGACGGTTCCAAGACTAGGTCAGGAACTGGAGCCGGAGTTTTCTCGCAAGACCTAAATATGAGCATATCACTAGCGTTAGGCCAACACAGTTCCATATTCCAATGCAAATGTGTGGCAATAACTTACGCCGCCACAACGGCCATGTCAAGGGGTATCAAGGACTATAAAATCCGAATACTATCCGGCAGCATGGCCGTCCTAAAGGCACTGGAGGGCAACACAATGACCTCTGGTATTATCCTCGATTGCCATCAAGCATGATTAGTTAAAATGGTACGGATCGACTCGTGAGATACAGAAAGTTCAGGTTCAAGGTTCAAGATTTTAAGGCACTATTTCCTTCACTTTTGCGATGTTAACTTCAGTTGCAAACGTTGATGGCCTACCAGAGCGTGGCCGTTGATGGCCTACCATCACATCTCGATCGCTTTCGAATGCTTTGTACCATTCAGAAGCATGTGTTTTTGATAAAGGCGATTCACCGTAAGCCTTCTGCCACATTTTCAGTGACTCCGAACACGAAATTCTATTGGCGATGCAAAATTTAAGACATACTCTTTGTTCGATGTTTTAGTCCATTATGAAATTCGCAATACACATTAGATATGATATAGCTAAAAAGAGCACTGTATTTAATATAAAAAAACAGAAGCAATTCAAACTTCGCGCCAAAATGGAAAACAGTTGTGCCAATCTAAGAACAAAAAAAACAAAATTTTTAATTTGGAACCATAAACAAATCATCCATTTCCGATACTTTTTTGACTGAATGTATTCTATTTAATAATTAAGACTGATGTAAAAAGGGCATTACTAGAATAAATTTGAACTTCTGTGGTTTTTGAATTATAAAAGGTTATAGCTAAGTAAGTATAGCTAAGTAGTATAGTTATAGCTAATAACTATAATAAATAGGACTAACGATTTGCACACGGAAAATAATTAAAAGAAAAGGTTAATATAATGTCGCTTTTATAATCACTTTCTAGTACCTAACACAATTTAAATTTATTAATAGTTAAAATTAGCAATAGTCAAAATTTCTGTAATATTACATTATTCTCGCTTTCCCCTATAATACAAGAGTTATTATATACTGGAGTTTCAAAAATGTTTTACAAGGATTATTATTGCATGCACCAGATTTTTTAGGGAAATGATCACCGATAATTGTATATAAAAACGGATTATTGTTGTTGTTAAGATATGATAATCTTCTTAATACAGCGCCCATCTAAATATATTTTTTTATATCTGTTTCTGATTCATCTGTAACAAATTCCGATTCATGGCCACAAAATATTTGAACGTGGAAACTACTTTATTGAAACGAGTCCCTCATTTAAATAAGTGTTATTTGGTATACCTATTTCCATATAAACATGTGTTAGAGAGCTGAAAGTGAAATAATTTTTTTCCACATGAATCAGACAAAGAATGAAATTTCGAAGAACTACCCATTAATCCTAGATATCTGACCTTTTTGGTAAGAGCCAGTTGGGTTTCAAATAGTTTGGGAAGTCTGAGGTTTCCTAGACCACGTTTGTTTGTGATCATGATCATCCCTGTTTGTTCCAAATATGTTACATCTTAGAAAAAACGAGTTTCAGTACAAATCGGCAATTTCATACTTCAACAGAGGAATAGAATGAAGTTAAATATTTTATCTGCCATGTTAAAAATACGCAGTGGTTTAAAGTTGGAAGAAGAATGCTGCAACAAATATGAAATTCCAATAAATATTGTAAAACAAATCGGTACCAAAGAATCGTTTTAATCTGGAAGTGACGATGATGTTGCTGACAAAAACGATAAAGGAAACTAGTTATTAATATACTTATGGTTTTCTTTCGTAATTACTAAAGAACGTTTAGTGTTTTAACGTTTTGTGTTAATTTAGTGCATATTAGAGTATGGCCGTTTTTCGTCAGTGGTTTCAGATGTTGAATCTGGTGGAGAGTTTATTTTAGTGATGCGCAAGATGTATAACTGAGCTGAAAAGATAGATACATTTCATTTTGCTCTAAAAATACGAGTATATATCACTCATCTAGCTCACTAGCTCAGTGATCCAATTCAATTTATTGGTCTCTCAATTGACTCATTTCTTCGTCTAGATCGTTTAGCTCAGTATATATATTTCACTTCAAGCCTCTCTCGCTCACACAAACCTTTCTTTATTCTCATATCAACCTAAATTCAGATCTTGGAACTTCATTTTGAACCTATTTTTTAAATACAATTTTTATTCATTTTGATAAGATTACATAATTATTAACAACCTTTTATGAAATAATTTGAAATAAGCAATATGTAAAATGACATTTCTCGTACTTTTTTTAAAGTTGTATATTAGAAATCATACATAAATTGATTTGCCATATATTTGGCAGAGGCTTAATTCTTAAATAATAATTAAGTAATGTTAAACTTTGATCTTATAGAAATAATGTACATTTTGCATAAAGAAACTTCACTCATTTATCTTTAGTTTCACTCGCTCATGAAGCAAAGTGTCGCTCATGACCAAAACTAGTGATCTAGTGAGCTAGTACTGAGTTACTGATATATTCAAAGCTAGTGTGAGTGAGTGATACATTTTATTGGTGTGAATGATATATATCTTTTATATCACTCACTCAGGAGCTACACAACTCTAGTTCATTTAACTGTAGTTGGCAACACTGTAGTGATGCGCAAAATGTATCACTGAGCTGAAAAGATTGATACATATCATTTCGTTCTAAAGATATATATCACTCATCTAGCTCACTAGCTCATTTAGCTAATTAACTCGTTTAGCTCACTAGCTCATTGATCCGATTCAATTGATTGGTCTCTCAATTAATTCATTTTTTCACCTAGATCGTTTAGCTCAAGACTACAGGTTAGGTTTTCGTGTTTAGCTTAGTCGTCACAAAATAAGAAGCCCGTTATGACGTTTCTCATTTGACATGCCGCGATAACTTTGTATGAACGTCTATGTAAGAAATTGAAAAATGAAATTTGTAATCCTATTTAATTACTATGTTACCCATACACTGTCACAACGCGAATCATAAATAAGCATTAAGTTTAACTTTATATTGAAAAAATGCACTCAAAAACACGAATTAATCGTTGATTAATATTCCGACAGGACTTTACTACAATGTCATGTCTTTGGGTTGTTTGCCGTAGTGTTGTAACCGTTAAAAAGCCGTTTTATGGCTGAATAAAATAGAGTTTCTGAAATTGCACAATTAGTTTACAAAAATTACATTAAAAAAAGAGATAAATGTGTAATTAGTGTATTATTTAATATTTAAACATATAAAAACAAAATCTGATCACATATAGTTTTAGCTTTATTTTGATATTTAATATGAATATTTTGATATTATACTTAATGATTTGGTTAAAATACCCGGAGCTGACTCCGTGTTTTTTAACCAAATCATTTCATCATGATATTGAAAAAAAAAAATCATCCTCATTTTTCTGTCTCAAACGTCATGTCTCATTTTGCAACAGTCACATTTGACCATTGACCTAAGAATATATGGACTAGCCATACCTACAAAATTATCGTGTATACCTACAAAAAAGTTGGCGCATAAAATGGCTGCCTTTAGGGTTGTCTTATGTAAAGCAACTCGAAATGCTGATATCGATATTTGAGTGAAATATTGAATGAATTGAAGAAATATCGATAGCATTAAATAATTTTAGTTGTGGTGTTAGTTATGTATTCATGTTAGGATTTTTTAAATCTGAATCCGCCAGGATGGATTAATTTTTGAATTTAATTCTAATAAGACGTTTAAAAGTGTTTTTGTGTTTTCCTTTAAGTTTACATAAAGTTTGCTCTATATGAGTATAAGTCTGCGAAAATGTATAAAAACTTATATTCCTGGCACCACATGACTACTACAATGCACAAAATCCTAATCTTTGGGGCAACTGGGGTTTGTTCTACAATCTAGATGTAATGAATTGATTATTGCTCAGCTGAGATCCCTTAATGTCTCGTATACGACAAAAACCAGGAAAGAAATCCATACCACATACTAAAAAGCCTTAGAAATGTTGATTTCTGTTGAACCCCGCATGGCTAAAGAAAATTCCTCTGATGAGGAATCTGCCGCAGACGATTCTGACAGTGTAACTAAAGAATGATGTTCCAGTGAAGAGACGTGGGAGTCTTCATCGTACATGAAAGGTTTTTTTTAGTTTTAAAATGAAGAATTATTTTTTATGTAAAATTGTTAGATAGTAGTTAGGTACGAGTCGAACTCGTGCGCCGAGGGTTCCATACCTACCCAGATTTTACGTGAATTTTAGCGAAAATTTGTGAGCACCAAAATTTATCTTAATTTTCAACTTTTTATTTTTTTGGAATTATGCCTTTATTTGTGTTGTTCGTGATTCTAGGTCAACGAGAACTACAATATAGGTTTTCGACCCAAAACCTATAGGGTACTTCCGGTTGACCTTGAATTGTCAATTTTGGTTAAAAGCAATGTCTTACAGCACAAGTAAAGAGAAAATTCTGAAAAGTAAAAAAAATTAAAAATTAAAGTAAATTTTGGTACTAACAAGTTTTCGCGAAAATCGAAATTTGCCTATTATCGTTTTATCGTTTTGACTCAGGACCTTGATTTTATACACCTAATAGGGACCATAGACCTCAGTATCTGGTATAAATTTCAACTTGCTAGGTCTACCCGTTCCTGAGAAAATCGGTGGTGACACAAGGACAAGAAAGTGATTTTATAAGGGTTCCTTTCTTACCTTTTGAGGTACGGAACCCTAAAAACTGTTAAACAAAAAAAAACGCAACATGTGGTAATTTCTTTTTATTCAAGAATAATTTTAAACAAATTATCACACTCATAGTAAGCCCCTGTTTTTCAATTTCGGATTGACACTCAGCAAACACTGAGATGATATAAAAAATCCCAGTACTGGTTCAGGTTCTCAGCAGCTTCGTTATCAACCGTATTTCCAACACAACACAAATAGTTTAGAGAATCATAGGACTACCAAGCATATCTGAATAAGCGACCTATATTATGTTGACATTGATAGAAATAACAAAGTGAGTAAATAAAACTGGTTTTAAATAGTTATAATATTTACTCATTTCTGAATAAAATTAACTTATTTAAATAGTTTCTAAAAGAAACTTTATCTGTCACCTTTTTTGCATGGTATCGTAACCTTAAATCAATAAAACCTTTAATAACAGATTTAATAAGTAACAATCTGTGATTTATGTTGTGCTCAGTATTGAGTGGCAAACAGAAAATGTTTTCGTATTCATAATATTCTGTCAAAAACTTAAAAATATAAATGAATGAAGTGAAAGGCCAAATTTCCTTAATTCCTCTGAATACTTTTTTTCTAAAGGCAGACCTCTAGATTTTGAAATTTGCCGTGTTAGAAAATCTTCAGGTTCTGCACATTCTTCCAAAATGAGACTCTTCGGTGTTGATGAATTTCTTTTCCTTAAGATGCTTGATGATTTCAGAGCATCGGGCAATCTTTTGATCACGTCTCCGGACCTTTTCATTTAAACTCCTAACTTTTCTTTGTAGAATATCACACTTTTTTGTGAGAATCTTTTTTTTTTCTTTTTGTGAACTTGTTGAACTTTCTTGTTGAACCTGAAAATTCGTAACATATATAACAATGGGGATAAAGGGTCAGAAAGTAGGAAAGATTTCAATCAAATTTGGTATGAAGATACTTTGATTCTTGAGGAAAACTTTTTACCGCGATGACCGATATTATCAATAGGCAATAGCTAATATCTTATAATTCACAAGTTTTTATTTATTTTGATTAATAAATCACAATCTCGTCACAGGATACTGATTAATAAATGTAAACCCAAGACTTAAAAGAAAGAATTGAACTTGTTTGTGCACATAATTAAATATAGGACCCACTCATATTTATAGGACGGCGCCGTTTGAAGGTATCTGAAGGTATAGGGTTTTTTTTTCTAGTTTTTTCTCTGTCACTGATGTGGTCTATCTACCTTAGGTACTTATTTAGGTGCCTCTTATAACACCTTCAGGGTGGAATGGGGTAGTGGCATAGATTATTCTGAATCGGTCATTACAATATGTATTACAATGAATTACTATTTAAATTCATGACCATTTTTTATAAAAGTAGGCTATGTAATGTATGGTTACCATTGCACTTGAAGTAGGTTGTGAGTCCAGCATGGTTTTTGGAAGGATTTGACTGGCCTGAAAGTAATAAAATTATTATTAATCATCATTGACATAGTGGTTTGTGTAACGGACTGCTATTCTAAAGGTCGCAGGTTTGATTCCCACTCTAGTCAAACATTTGTGTGCATGAACATTTAACGCTTGATTTGGTCTGGGTGTTTCTATGTACAACATGTATGTATTTATATCAGCTGTCTAGTACCCATAGTACAAGTGTTGTTTAATTGTTTCTTTGTTTAAATGCGCATATCTCTGGAAGTATCAGTCAGATTTGAATAATTTATTGTATTGGATAAAGTATTCAATGAGGTATATTATAGACTATGTAACATCATACTCACTACTACTCAGGAGAGGAGCACTTACCATAAACGTAGGTGTAACTGCGGGGAATGACTAGTATTTGATGTAAATCCTATTATCTACATTCTGATGAGCTTATCGCATCACTTTTATATTTAAAATAAAATACCATACCAACCTGTAGCGAAGATAAGGGCACTGCACAGTCACGTAACCTCGTCACGCCGAGAGTTCTGTTGAAGGATGTTTCGTGGAAGTGCATCGAGCAGACATACCACATTTTATGTCGAGGGTTTATGTTTTCCAAACCAATAATATTGATCCATTTTCTTTTCAAAATTTCATTTACAGGCAATCTGATGAGGTAAACACCATTTTAAATAAAAAAATCCGTGTAAAAATGAAAGTATCGATACTTGACTCGATCATCACTACCCCTAATCGTATGTAAACAAATCAAAGTCAAACAAAGCAAATAACACCATTGGAAATCTCTAAAAACTAACAAACGTGTTCAGTAATTTTAAAAAGATCATCTTTAATACAATACATTAAACAAAATCCTAAAATATTGAACAATATCAATGAAAATATATGACTTACCTGTGAAGAGTCAATGTAGGATGATTATTGTTTTTTCTTGCACCACACTCTTTAATAGAGCACGAGGGCATGATTATCCCGTCTAGGGCAAAGCCTTGGATACAATAAAAACCAGTTAAGAGCCGTAATATGGATGAAAACAAAACAACAACAACCGTTTGACAGCAGATATGTCTCAAAACTTGGTACCTAAAATGGCGACGGCGGTCACGAATTGACAAGTTCATGACGTCACTCGAAAGTGCTGCCAATATTAGTACTCACTTAACTATGTTTATCTCTCTTTTCTCACTAAGGTTTACATAAGTGAAAAGGAGATGTAATGCTTTTTGGTGTATTTGTGTCGATCTTATACATATTTGTATAATGTATTGTTAGTATAGTAGAATAGGGCCACTCCATATATATTTACTTCCTCATTGCATTTGACAACCGTCCTTAAAAGTCAGTCTATAAAAGAATTATCAAAGCCGTACATAATTTGTTTCCTTTCTCTACGTACCTATAGAATGGTTTGTCTATGACCAAGCGGCACGTGATCCATGCGCGTACCGCGTACTGCGCAGTCTTTCTTGTGAAGTTGACTGTGCGCTCGTTTTTGTTTGATATTTTTTCTAGACTCGGCTTTGCTTTTGGACTGTTTTTGTTTACTATCACGTTGACCTTGGCTCTTCTATTCCGGACATTGATTAGACATAGCGATTTGGACTCGATTTTGGTGTTTGTGGTTATATTGTACAAACTCTGTTTCAACATGTCGCAAAGAGGACGTACAATCAACAGCCAATCACGTTAATGGTGGACCATTATTACCCGTAACTCAAGGGCAAGATCGCGTAGCAGAAGCACTTAGAATCGGCAATAAAACTATTCGAACCATTTTGAAGGAAAAGTATGGGTCTTCCGGTACTGAAGAAAATGTGTTACATACGCCTAAGAAGAGGAAGAAAAGCAAGCCTGTAACAGGTATTGACACATTTGACGCAGATCGAAACCACGTATATGCTTATTACACGAGAAGTGAGTACCCAACTGTAAGTAAGTTGGTGGTATCACTAAGAGAGGCTGGCCTGTTTAGTGGCAGTGCAACATCTTTAATAACAATCATGAAGCAAATTGGTTTCAAATACAAGAAAACCGACAAGAGGAAAATTATGATGGAACGATATGATATAATTTTGCACAGAGTATCATTCTTGAGGCAAATGAACAAAATTACAAATTGGGATAATGTCATATTTATCGATGAAACTTGGCTGAACTCGAATCATACCGTGCCACAGTAGTAGTAGTGGACGGATGATACCAAGGCATCTTGTTTAAAAGTGAAAATGGGTAAGGGTGGACGCCTAATAATCTGCCATGCCGGATCAGCCGGGGGAGGTTTTGTGCATGATGCTCTACTCGCATTTGAGTCCAGAAGTACAAAAGAATACCACGAAGAAATGGATGCAAATAAATTCTTAGAATGGTTTACTAAGTTGTTAATAAACCTCCCCGAACAGTGCACAATAATTATGGATAATGCACCTTACCATTCAGTTCAAATAGATAAGGCACCTACTCAAGCAAGCAAAAAGGCAGATTTAGTGGCGTGGTTACAAAGAAAAGGCGTAGAAGCTGACATGAATTTATTGAAAGCTGAACTGCTGGAATTAGTAAAACAAAATAAACCTGCAAAATTAAGATATAAAATCGATGAATTGGCACTTCAACATGGTCACAAATTGATAAGAACGCCGCCCTACCATTGTCAGTACTATTGAAATAATCTGGGCTCAGGTCAAAGGATACGCAGCACGTCATAATACAAAGCCACCATTCTCCACTAAGAATATGATGACATTGTTAAAAGAAGCTTGTGATAAAATAACTAAAGAAGATTGGGCAAAAGTGGTAGAAAAGACGCGAAAAATAATAAAGGAAGATTATGATAGAGACGTCAATATTGATAATATTATAGAAAATGAAATAATTATATATACAGGCGACGATAGCTCATCTGGCTCGTCATCAGAAGAAAATGATTGATTTCACTTTTCTTGATTTTGTTGTGATTAAGCAAAATTTTTAAATTAAAGACAAATTGACATTTCTTTCCATTGTATCATTTCAAATTGCCTATAACATTAAAGTTTAAGTTATATGTTCTAATTATAACTTAAATCCAATGCACTTTGTGATATATAGTCAAATCAATCAAATACTCTACAAGCTTGAATCGATTTATCGTAAGTATCGTGCACCGAGTCGTATGGTCAATCACTAGTTACGGCACCATGACAAATGTCAAAACGGGCTTCTTATTTTGTGACGACTGTAGCTCTACCACAAAGTCATTAACCAAAAGTTGAAGTTGACTGTAGCTCTGACAGACGGAAATTTAAGTTCGATATTGATATCTTCAGATTGTAATGATTGTATGAATCGTATAATTTTGTTTTAGTTTTATTATTACTGGGAGATATTATGATAACCCAGTTTTTAAATTGGAGTCAGAGGCACTATTTTTCCACTAAAATATCAAAATCAAATATCATGAACATGAACAAATGTTATTTTAGATATGTGCAACAGGAGGATAAAGTTGATATATCTTTTTTGTTAGACATCAAGGGATCTGTTAGGCAATTTAACTTCAGTAGAAACCCAGCGGAAACTTTACAAGTTTTGCTTAATCGTATAAAAACGAACGTTCTAAAAGTTGTTAATAAAGCTAACAGAAAGAAGAAAGCCACTGATAGCGATAATGATATTGAAGTACAATTTTATAATAATAAAAGAGCAGTTATAAGTGAAAATAGTACTTGTAAAGAATTGTTCTTGAATAAAGATGGTGTAAAATTGAAAATGCTTGACAGTGAATATGAAGTAGTATTTAATTCTCCATGGGTGTTATCTATGAATTTACCACAAAGTATTTTAGCAGGCTTTCCTGTTTATCCAGAAAATTTTGAAACTCTATACGCTAGGCGGGAAAAATGTGCTTTTAGCTGGTATAAGGGCTTTAGCGCTAACTCTGAAGGAAAAGAAATTAATGATTTACACATAAAATGGAATTTAACTAGTAAACAATATGCTTATACACCAAGTACAGAAGATATTGACATGAAATTGAAATTGGAATGTATACCAGGTATGTTTTTGACATTTCTACAATAGTATGATTATCTTGAAGTTTACTTCTAATGATCCTAAATGCTTAAAACTGCAAGGGAGTTAGTCTGGCTCACCACCTCATCTGAATGCATAATGGACTGTATGTGAATAAAAATGTAGATACAGAGCCCATTACCAATACCACATTGGAATAAGGTTTTAGTTTTATAAATCCTTAGTTACTTTAATTTGCTATTGGATGCACCATATACTATTCCGTATTCCTAATGGCTCCAACACAAAGTTTGATTGTCGGATAAACAACGGTCCACAAATTTCTGAAACAAATATTTTGATTTTTTAGGAGGATACCTTTACAATAAAATTAATAAGTTGATTACAATTTACACTTTAACAAAATTTTAATGCAAGCAAAATCTCACAGTACGGCTTAAGTAGGTACTTGAAATACGAGGAAACTTAAAATTTTCTTTATGTAGGTCCCCAGATGAAAGTATACACACTTCTACCAGTAAACACACACAATGAACACACACATACCATAATGCACATCCTCTCAACCCAAGGATTTTACACACATCTAATGCATAGTTATAAAATGTTACTTATCTGAATCAAACTGTTCTAAGTCTGGAGAGACTGGTAATCTGTCATACAGGTCTCCTAGTACAGATAACAGTCTCTCACATAGATATAATGTAATTATGCTAATTACTACTGCTAGTTTAAGCTACTAGCTATGTATCAGTGTGTGAGAGAACAAAAATAAAATTATAATTATTATTATAATGCTATCTCTACTACTCTCTATTATCTACACTCCTCATCTCTGTTATCTATACTATATTGGTAATAGATCAAAGGAAAATTCAAGTACTATGTATATGGCTGTGTAGGTGGTTTTCTGATTAACTATATTTATTTTATTGAAGGTAATGATGAGATGGTGGGTCCAGCAGTTGAGGCAGTATCTAAAAATATTGTCCAAGCAGGGCCTGGAAAATGTCCGTTTGAAACCAGACATATGTTCACAACACAAAAACTGAAGGAAAAAAGGTTGGTAATTAGTTTTGTTTTAATTTTGCAATCCTTATTGCAAGAGTACTAGTTTGTTATATAATCTTGTTATTAAATCTTGAAATTTCCAGCTTCAGATGTGTAACTTACAATATTTTGGCTGATTTATATTGTGATTCTGATCATACAAGAACAGTACTTTATCCATATTGTCCACCATATGCATTGCATATAGATTACAGAAAACAACTTATTATTAAAGAATTACTTGGTAAGGCACTTATTTTTTTAACTGCTTTTAATTTTATGACATTGTTGTGTCAATACATATTTTTATATAAATTTTTGATAACTGTTTAGTTTAGCTATCAAATGGTCAATTATGAGTATGTATTGACACAATTGTATAGATACTGTACAACATAACTAAACATACACTACAACATAAAGGAAATATCAAATGCTTATGAGAACCAATTTGTGTCATGACATGACATGTGTGATTCATTGTTTTTTACTATAGGTTACAATAGCATATATAATAAATAATACTACTATTTTTGTTCTATCATTTGGTATATGCTTTCAGGATATAACAGTGACATTATATGCCTTCAAGAAGTAGACAGTAAAATATTTCGTAATTTTTTAAAACCAATTTTGGGATCGGAAGGTTTTGATGGAGTTTTTTATAAGAAAGGAAAAGAAGTTGCTGAAGGATTAGCATGCTTCTACAGAAGTCAAAGATTTAAGTAGGTATATAATAATATTATGTGCAATATTATATACAAACTGGGATGTTAACAATTTTTGTAATGGAAATTATAAAACAGTGTATCAACACAACAAAAACAGTAAAATGAAGAAAACAATAAGGATAGAAATTTTGCTGAGGACAATTTTTTTAGAACTTCTATTCTAAAAAAATTGTCCTAGGCAAAATTTCGGCAATTTTGATGCCAATGGTTGAGTTTGGGATATGGTATTTCATAGTGAAATCTATTAGTAACCCCCTAAAGTATCTAGGTTGACTTAACCAGTAATATAAAAATGTTAAGTTGGTTTGTTTATACTTCAAAAACTTGAAAAATTCATGCTTCAAAGATGTTTTTATATTTTTTCGCATCACTTTACGCATTAAAACAACTCCATCTACAGCTTGTATTGTATGTATGTATTCTTTTTAAATAAATTTAATTTATATCACTTTCAGTCTTTTAGGTGAGGAGAGAATGGTATTGTCAGAGGCAGTGATAACTGAATTATGTCTTAAACCCATTTGGGATAAAATCAAGGACAATAAACCGTTAACTGAACGTTTATTGGATAGATCAACCGCATCTAGTGCAACATATTTGAAATCACTGGATAACCCAAATGAGATTCTGATTGTAGCAAATACCCATTTATACTTTCACCCTGATGCTGATCACATAAGACTATTACAAGGTGGCATGGTTATTTATTGGTTGATGGATATTAAAAAAAAAATAATGTCCAAGGTATGAATTGAATTATATTATAATGATAAATTTGAGTTTTTAGGGTTCTGTACCTCAAATGGAAAAACCGAAGATCGCTTTCTTGTCTGTCTGTCTGTCAAGACCCTTTATCGCGGAAATCTGTAGAGGTATCTAGTTGAAATAAATAACCTTATACTCAGGTCTACAGTCCCTTACAGCTGTGAAAGATTATACTCTTATGTTAATGTAAAAAAAAACATACGGCCGTTTATGTCGCGAAAAACGCATATTTCGACACTCAAGGGGATCAAAACTTACAGATTAATTCCTTTGTTCTGTGTCTGGGTGTAGTTTATCTATATATATTTATCAGCTCATATCATAAATCATAACTATGTTTATCAGCAGCCTGTTAGCCATAGTGCAGGCTTTGCCTTGTTTAGGATCAGACGGCCGTGAGTTAAATTTGTGGAGTTATCATTTTTACCAGGGGTCAAGAAAAACACTGTCCCTGAAACTATGAGCTAAAGCAGGGTAGTACAGAATACAAATGTCAATGCCTACAATATTCCTCTACTTACTTTACAGATATCTAATTGTTTTTTTCTTTTTCAGTTTCCGGATAAAAGGATAAGTGTGCTACTGTGCGGAGATTTTAATAGTGTTCCTACATGTGGTATTTATCAGTTGTATACAAGTGGAGTATCGCCAAGTGATCTACCAGATTGGAAGTCAAGTATGTATTAATCTTTTCCCTGGCACACTTTTACACCCTTACATTATTGATCAGCATTAAAAACTAGACGTCTGTCACTAACTGCTGGTTATTATTTGTTTATACCAAGATTATAATTTAAGAGGACCTGCCAGAATTCTTTTTGTTTTCCAAGTAGGTCCTGTTGTGAAACTTTGCTTAGGCATTATTAAGTATTTCGAAAGTATCCAGTCAAGTAAACCATTAAAATAAAACAGACAATGATTAAAACAATCAAAATACTGTAATGCTATGTTACCCTATTGTTTGCATCACATGTGTCTAATTCAAAGTCAATGTAATAATGTGATTACTATAACGTCATGTTGTTGAAATGATTAGTTTACATGTCCAGTCCTTCCCACATGTCACGGTATAACTAGTAGCAAGCATGTAGCGATCTAGTAATTGTTGCATTCAAACTCAAACATATCGAACGTCTTTTATCCAAACTTGAATGCGACTGATGAACATATATTTATTAATTATTTTACCTATATCTAATCAATCACAGTAGAAGTAGACACTGTCAAAGAACGGTTGGTATAACGTCAGAATCATTTTGTATTAATAACGAGACCATAAAATGTAGTTAAGAATCTTAGATATTAATACAAATTTCGGTACACTTGTTGATGCTCTTTCCTGGTTGGTTGGTAGCATAAAAAAAAGGATGAGAAGATTATCATAGACTAGCTTTCGCCCGCGTTTTCGGGCGCGTGTATGTAGGCTATCGCGGTAAACAGCATTCTATGTTCTTCCTCAAGAATCAAAATATAACCATGCCCAATTTCATTAAAATCGGTTAAGCGGTTTAGTCGTGAAAATGTAACAGACAAAGTTATATTCGCATTTATAATATTAGTACGGATTTTATGAGATCTAATATTATTATGTTTGTTTCAGATATCAATGAAGCTGTGAGTGACCTTAATTTGGAACAAAATATTGCGCTAGGCAGTGCTTGTGGAACTCCTCTTTACACTAATTTTACTGATGGCTTCACCGAATGTTTGGACTACATTTTTTATGAAACTACCAACATAGACGTGGAACAGGTAAATATTATTCGTTAGTAGTCATAACTGCTTTGTCATTGATTGAATGTAGTAGCAAATGAAAACAACAACAAGTCTTACTACACCTGGACCAACATTTTTTTCATTTTATCTTTTACAACTATTCTTTCTGGGAATCATGTTGAAATTGGCAGTTTATTTAGAAAAAGTAGGTAAGAAGTGACGGAAAGGAATAGACTTTTTTAAAGATGTAACAATAGATTTTCATACAATATAAGGAAAAATATATTGTAGTATACCTAAGTATATGTACATATACAAATACTATATTTCCAAATAATATATATATATATAGTTGTTGAGCAAAGCACTACAAAGCACAGACAGTAAAATAAATATCTGCCTATCTCTTTACAGGTGGTTCCACTTCCCAGTGTCGAAGAATTACGTTTACATACAGCCTTACCAAGTGTTGTGTTTCCTTCAGACCATATATCATTAGTTGCAGATTTACGATTTAAATAAATAGATATGTTACAACGGAATATATAATAGTGCCTGTACAGAAAGACCACCTTCCAAAAGCTTCAAAATCGTTGAAATTAGTAATATGTCCTTCTATAACACAACAAAATGCAATTTAGATCGTCCAGCGATAAAAACATAAAGGTACTTGGTCTCGAACTCCAGTCTGCCGGTGGCCTGTGTTGGTCTATGGGGCTCGAATGCCATGTTGAAAGAAAATCAATCCTCTTTATTTAAAACTTTATTTATTCATTTTATACTTCCTGCGAAGACATTGCATAAGGCGAACTATAGGCCGACCGTTTATCTGAGTCCTCGCCTGCGCGGTAACAGGGGCGCGGGGTTATGACGACAAAGGGGACTGAGACAGGTACGGGCGGCGGGGACGCTTAGTGAAATACACACGAGATGAAATGCGCCAAGATAGTTCCTAAGATATGTGACATAGTCATAGTAAAGAAATAGTGATTTATTAAATGAAAAATTATTAATGAAAATACAAAATTTTAATTAACTAACTAAAAGCTATGAAGGTACGTAAATAAAATATTTGGTAATAAACTATTGTACTATTTATTATATAGAATAATCATCAAAATTATATTTCAATCAGTTATGTCCATATCAATGTCGGTGGAACTTGATTCTTCACTTTCGAAGGAGTCATCATCGGTTTCATCAGAGTCGTTCAGAGTGTTAATAATAAAATCAACAGCATCATCCCGAATGCCATCATGTTTGCAGTACTCGTTTGCAATGCTCCCACTTCTGTGCAGAATATTCAGCAAATAATCCCTCTAACATAGTTTTTTTTGGTCTAGATTAGAGTCCACACTTTTTTGTGCTAATTGCCCCTTAATGTCAACCCAAACCAACTCAATAGGGTTCAGGTCTGGGTGATAAGGAGGCAAACGCAACACTTCATGCCCGTTTCTTTTCAATAACTCGTCAATTTTATAAGTATCTTCAGTTTCTGTCTTTTTAATAAATTTTGATAAGTCGTCCTTTTTCAGCTTATCATCGAAAACCACGTCGTGTCGTCGTAACCATGTTTGCATAACTGCCTTGCGTCGGCTTTTTTTCTTCTCGAACCGAATGGTCAGCTGCGTTATCCATCACGATGACGGAATTTGGTGGTATATTGGGCATTAGCGTTTCATTTATCCATTTACTGAAATTCACGAAATTCATAGAATCGTGATAATCACCTGTTTTACATTTGGATTTAAATATCACAAGTGCTCCGTCAACAAATCCAGTTTGACCTCCACAATGTACGATGATCAAATGGTTCCCTTTTCCAATATGAGATAGTACGCCATGTACATCCTTGGATTGCCAGCATTTTGAAACGTTATGAGACTCATTTACATATGTTTCGTCAAGATATAAAATATGTCTTCCTTCTCTACGATATTTTTTGATAGTCCTTAGGGATTTCCACCTCCACGATGTTATATTTGGCTGTTCAATAAGGAGTTTCCTTTTAAACCGCATTTCTTAAATTTAAAACCTAGGTCATGTAACAACAGCCTTAAATATTCCCTTCCGCAGTGTAATATATTCTCTTCTCTAAGTACAGCATTCAACGTTTTCAGAGTAGGTATTTTTTTATCAATTGTATAAAACTGAGTGACTTTTCTTCTTACCACTCCTTTTGTGAAATCGTCTATTTCTACTCTTTTTTTGCGAACCTGTTTTGATTTTTCAAACATCAAAACAGAAAAATCAAAACAGGTTAATCAAAACGTTGTCTTTCAATAATTTTCCTTGATGTACGATTCTAGATACAGTCTTTTCCGATAGTCCAGTAACTTCTGCTACGGTTTAAATGTATGTCTTGTTGATATTCAACAGAATTTGGGTCCAGTTTCTTTTTTCTAAAATATTCGTACAAGTTTAAAGCCATTTGCTTGCACTGACTATTCACTTTATGACCGAAGATCTTACGATTCATCTTGAGATTGTTATCACATGTGTATCTTTCACAAGGCGTCCGCAACAATTAACACGTGCGATCGCTGTCCGCGTTGCGATCGAAATGAGCGATTACAAAAATTCGCCCGCCGCCCGCACCTGTCTCAGTCCCCTTTGTCGTCATACCCCCGCGCCCCTGTTACCGCGCAGGCGAGGACTCAGATAAACGGTCGGCCTATAAATGACATAGGCATTTTCTTACAGTCAACCTTTGTGTGATACAGAGCTGTGTGTAGCAGGGGAATATTTAGAGCCGAGGCTTGATAACGATACCATTTCCCACTAAAAGTAACGTTAAATAACGATATTTCATAAACATAATTTTAATAACGGTAAACATTTTAACCAAAAGTCAGTAACAGAACGCTATTGTAACACTGTAACTACTATCACGTTAATTTTTGAGGTCAATAAGTAACAGAACTATATAATAACAATATCTCTTAGGCAACATAACTCATATGATAACAATACTAACGACATCAAAAATGATACTTTTAATAAAGTTCTCCCAAGTTGTCACGCGGAGCGGCAACAACCCATGCCTGTCATTCAATAAAAGGACAAACCGCCGTTACTATAGTCAAACCGTTGCAAGCTTGGCCCTCCCGATAATTTGCGGAACGCGGGGCTGGGGTACGCTCAACCAATTAGCTAGTGTGTCGCTGACTAGTCTTGTGCTTAACCTGACATCTGCAGGTTCGCACCGTACTAGTACAATTCGTACAACGTACTAGCACACGTACACAACGTAATAGTACTATTAGTACAGTTTTAGTAGAAGTAGAAAACTTAAGCGTTTGTATTGATATAACTAACATTCGTTATTCCTGTATACATGTGATATTCCTTTCTGAATCCCATAAACCCTAAAAGTTTGACTTTTAAATACGAATTTTTAGATTACTTCACATAAACTTTTAAGCATACTATTTGATTTTCCTTCACCCAACGTATTGTAGTACACCTGTATCGCTGTCCCTTTTACTCTCGCACTGTACCAATACGAAACAATAAAGCGGAGCATTAATAGTAAGTACGTCGCACAACGAACGAACGTAGTAGACAGAGTAAACAATAGGTAGTTTTAGTACTGGCTTGAAGTTGACACTGTGTACTAATAGTGCAAAATGTCCTATTAACAGCTGCCTTTCGGCAACATTACTTTTAGTACAATACCCAGTACACTAGTAGTCTTGGGTAGTACACGTACGATGTACCTATCAGTACATCGTACTGTTACGCGGATAATCGCGATTTAGTTGTTAAAAAAAGAACTTTCATTTATTTGACAAAAATACTTTAATTAAAGTACAGAAGGTCAACACTTCGTTATTTTTAAACTCTAGAGGCAACCGCACTGATTGAAAGATGGACACGGACTGCCGGATCAGTGGACGAGCAGAGGGCTTGGAGAGGAGAGTTGCTGACTAAGCAAAGTAGCAGCCAGGGCAGCACTTAGGGGTGCATATCTCAGATATAACACCTCCCCCTTTTAGAGGAGACTTGGGGTTGATTTCAAGTCTCTGTTAAACTCTAGTTCTTAGTGGGGCAATAGGGTTGGTCATCTCTAATTCTGGATTGTCAGGGTCTTGTCTGTCTGTGGTATTTGTCGGTTTAGGAGTAGGTTGAAATGAGGGTCTTAAACTAAATTTAAATTGGAAAGGGCGGTTGCTGCCAGATTTACAAAATATTTGCTTAATAATAAAATAACCTATTAGGAGAATAACAATTACGAATACTATAATTATAAGAATAGAGTAATGTGTCCCATATTTCATGATGTGTGGATTTAGTGGGTGTTCAATGGGTTTTAAATCTTCTAGAAGAGGCTTTATTCTGTTTTTATTTTCAGAATGAAAATCGTCTAGATCAATGTCATTTAGATGAATAGGAGACACATTATTATTAATTACATCATTTAGCTTATCTAAGTTACAACAAGCGTCACTGATTAAATTAAAATCTGGTGCATGGTTAATAGGTGAAGTGATATTTAGAACATTATCTTTAGGAATTAATGTGGTACTTTTACAATATCCGGTACAATCTTTAGGAATGTTAACTATACCTGTGCCTAAATAAAATATTTGCTTCGTATAATTTAGAATTAAGACAATCTATTGAGATTTTGTTAGGTTCTGATTGTATGTAGATCCACTTATTATTTGTCAATGGTTTCCAAATGTCCAATTTACCGAGTATAACTTTAGATTCGCACTGTAACGGTTTTTCACTTATCACTTTTGCCAGAAGTTCACTTTGATAGGTCGTTTTCGCATCTGTTGAATACAGGTTTTCGATGTCACAAATAAAGTCTTCTGGGCTTACGGATTTGCAGATTCTCATATCGTCGAAAGTACAATAATAAGATTTGTCTTTGGTCATTGCAATATATTTATGGTTAGGTATAATCAGACTAAACGAGTTTGGATCTTCAGATTTGTATGGTGTAGGGAGAGCAATGGTATGAAATAATACATATTCTCTGGTGTTGACCAGTGGCACTTGCAAAACAAATATAATCCTATCCTTAAAGTAATAGCATACTAACTTAGAAATATTAAAAATAAAACACACAGAATTAATGTCTAAAGCTACGGGCAACTCAAGGTCGTTGGGTAAATGTCTGTAATTATCGGCAAGCTCTTGGTGTAATTGACTTGGTGTTATTACTGCAGGATGTAGAATGTTTTGACTGCTAAATAAAATAGCATTAGTTATATCTTCCAGTTGAAATGACAAGGTAAGTATCGATGTCTCTAAAATGTTAAGTATTTCATTTACATTAGCGCGTATTTGCAATCTGTTAGTGATTTCAGAAATATTTCTTACATTAAAAGAGAGCTTGTCGATAGCTACATTGAGTTTGGTTTCATTATCTCCTATTTTACGTAAAGTATTATTAAAATGTGTTAAAGTAGAACTAGTGATCAGAATATTTTCTTTCATAAGCGAAGCTAATTTCTTTTCATTGTTTTGCAATGATGTTATGGCTTCATCATATTTTAAACCATCATTTT